GCTCCTGTTCATTCGGTGGGTTCGCGAAACAAGGGATAATAAAAGTCTGGCCTAACACATCTCCTGTGTCATTGGTGCTAATTTGTAACGACCACTGTCAAAATGGGGACACTGAAAGCATAGTCTATATGCTATATACATGTACCAATATTCTATGTTAAATCACTTGCAAATGAAAAAAGATTGCTGTCGTGGGGTTGTGTCCAGATTCCCAGAGGGCATCCTCTATTGAAATCCAGTTTTGTCAAGTAAACTTCAAGGACTATGGTACAAGAAGACAACCAAAATATGTCGTAATCTTGAGAGGCAAAGTCTGCCTCTGACAGCCTCTTATTGATGATGATGATACAGTGTGTGTCACAAGTCATTATTTTCTACAGTTTTCATCACATGGCCAAAATCGATGAAATGGTGACTGCTCGACCCTTAGTTTTAACATCATATTTCATATTGGCCTTGTGTAGGTAGTGTTACATTTGCCTATGCAATTTGTCTAAAACAATATTTCATTAAGATTTGTTCATTTTTAAAAAAAAATTGTTCAAAATCATAGTTATTGCCACTTTTTGAAACAATGGGAAGGTAACAAGACTAGATGGTAATAAACTGTACTGCGGTATCCAGTGGTAATATCGCCAGTAAAGTGCTTTTAGAATATTCATTTGCATATTTTTTATCTAATTTATAGCATACATGTTTTCCGAACGTTTCATTCAAATCCAAATCTGTTCGTTGACTTTCAAACTTCCGGGGTCGACACGTTTTGTGTTCTACAGTACAAACCACGCATAGTGAACGATGTTTTGCGCTGATAGAAGTAGGGTCATGCCTGTCATTCTGTGTATTGTGTATTTTCACCTAATAAAATTATAGAAATGTAGTATTCAACGTCTTTTTGACGTTAAATTTGTCATCTCTATTCAAACTTATGTTGTATATTTTTACACGTCACTGGAATACATCAACTCATCAAAATGTTTGGAATACTGGTTGGAGAATATACTAAACCTCAAAACATACCAGTAATGTTAGAAATACAACTCTTACCACCCTCCTTAGGCCGAAAATCTGAAATAGGAACTATTTGCTCATATAAACTGCTATTTTTCCGGGAAAATATATTTTTATCAAGCATTCTATTTTTCCTGCGTTGGTTCAGTTATTGTTTCATTTCCATTTATTTTTTCTGTCCACTTAAAATGCGACTTTTATTATTCCTTAATACTATGGTGAGATTATTTTTATTTCATGTTTTTTCAGCGACTAAACCGAGTAGAACTCTATCTAAATTATAATTATAATATAATTATACTTTTAAACTTTGAACCCAAATATTTCAACATATTTTGGACAACCTCTTACAAACTGATACTTGATAAAACACACTCGGAAAAACGTCGATCAGTTCTTCGGCTGAGTTGTGTGCATGAGCCGACTGTGTCGACCTTTTCCCATGATGAAATGCGCGAACCCAGAGAAAACGTTCCAAAGATGCGTGCGTTTTTTATTCGAGGTACTGAGCATTGAAATACGTATATGCGCGATGTTCCACGACGTGCCGTACAGCCAATCAGATTATGGTTGATAAGCCTCAGCAAACACGGCGATGTCACGGCGATGGTTCTGATTGGTCAACGACAGTTTTTAAAATCTATGAATATTTTATGTTTATAAACCGTAAATTTTGTAAACCGTTTTATGAAAGCAATGTAGTGTAAGGGAAATCACAGACAATTTTCAAATTCATTATTGTTTTCCACGTGTATAACAATGACGTTCCCATATATGTAAATGATATAAGAAGTTACTTTCAATGCCTGTTTGACAGTCTAATAATAGCTACAAAGGTCAGTAGGTCAGGTTGTTTTATTGTGGCACCTTGAATGCCATTACAACTTAGACTGGAATGTCTGTGTCATACACCCACAACAACAACATGACAGCAAACCACGAGGAAGTAAAACGAAATAAATTCACTGCGTCATTGAAACGTTATTTTAGTACAACAAAGCTCCAACAATTATCCCCGATTGACTTAGATCAATAATTGAGCGACACAATTGGATAAATAAAAAGATGCCTAACGACCCTGAGACATTGGTATATCAATTCCCCGGTCAATTCATATTTATTAGGAAAGCATATATGGCTTAATAGAATGAAATGAATACTTACACATCCAGACAAGAAAATGTAACGATCAACAAGAAATATGATAGTTGTATTCACTCACTTGAGTAGATTACGCGACTGTTTGCGGTCCGCATATACACAGCTATGGGACTATGAGGTAAAGCGTGAAACAGTTCGAGGTCTATATCCTTCATGACGTCATCTCATTTGAATTAGAACAGGGTAGAACCCAACCCCCTTTCAATCACCTTATTGTTTGCCACATAAACAACGTCGACAACGCAACAGCCACTTTTGCGTTTGTGTAGTGGTAACGCAAGTGTAGAAACAAGGTAGAATATAATGAATACGTAACTTAAGAGGCTGTTTATTTGGTAATTTAAGTAGACTGACAATCAAGACACCACGAAAATATTTATAAGGCTACACACTAATGTATACAGCAAAACGTTCTTTATAAAAGGTTTATCAGATTTACACATCTGAATTTAAAATTGAAGGGAAACGCTATGGATGTAATAATGACAAGCCATTCTTAAATATACATTTCAACTCAATCCGACTTAATGTAGCGAGTTATATTATATCCGCACTGACAGGAGTGTCTTGTGACGAGCTCTCAAATGAACGACTGAGTAGACTTTCATATTTTATAGAATCTAAAAGTATATTTAATTATTCTATGACAATTTCAGAGCTCTTTAATAAAAGAAATTTGCTTTAAATATTGGTCAAAATTAACAACCCACATTGTTGCGATGATTGCACTTTTCCATGTATTTTATATAATTAATAAATCACACAGTCAGGTATTAAAATAATTCTTCTATGAAAATACTTAGTGTGAATTTTACTTCCTGTAAACATCTACTACATCCTAAACTGAGTTAATGTTTTTTTCACGGACATTTCATAACGTCATATTATTTATTTATTTATTTATTTATTTATTTATTTATTTATTTATTTATTTATTTATTTATTTATTTATTTATTTATTTATTTATTTATTTATTTATTTATTTATTTATTTATTGTTTTATTGTTGTATTTATTGTATTTATTTATTTATTTGTTTATTTATTTATTGTTTTATTGTTGTATTGTTGTATTTACATTATTTTCAGGGTATATTGTATGTGCTGAAATAAAGCTATGCAGTGACATCACATATCATTGGATATGAATAAATAAATAAATGAATGAATGAATGAAACAATACGTAGAAATTATAATAAGTTATGTAAACATATTAATGATAAAAATACAAATTATCAGTCTAGTTAGACCTAATTCAGTTTGAAACCATATACATTTCTGACAATAAATAAATCGAGACAATTTTATTCAGTATAAATATACAGATTGCATATATACATTTAAAGGAAATAATCATAGGCAATAAAACAAAATTGAGAATTAAATAATATGGTCTCAGGTGCTATAAAGATTTCTTACCAGATACTGGTACTTTAATATGCAAATGAATAGTCTCGCAGATGCCTATCATTTTATCGCGGCCAGTCGTGAAAAAGGTCAGGGGTCGCCGGTTACTAGGATCACCCACAACTTACGCGAAGTTTGTTTTGACTGTACTATACGCGATCGCGACACTTTCCACAGAAGTTTTTAATATTAGGGCACAAACAAATCTTGACGTGAACAACCAACGCATCCAGGGTGTCATTTAGAATAAATTTGCAATGTTAATATAATTTATTTTGTGACTTCTGCATCAACTATGAATTATTCATATCAACTAGAATCTTGCAGACGAGTGAAATGGTTCGCATTTCCAATCAAACACCTTTGGCGTTCAAATGTTTTGGAAACGCAATTACATTAGGCCCGAGGACTGTCGACAGTCTATATGCATGCTCGAAGTATTTTGTTATTGGAAAACTTGTACAAATTTATTACTATGTAGTTTCGCATAGTTTAATACTGTTCATGTTTGATTTGTTTAAAGATTTATGATATACCTCAATATTGGTATTCATAAAACATTCAGTTAACAACTTTTTGTTCTTCACGTAGTCTAAGAGTGAACTCTCATCACATACACATGAAAGGTGAATTCGAATAACGACAATGGACTAAACAGTTTAATATGTCCGTAATTACATTACGCAGGTAGACATAAATTGTTTGTTTCATAACATCGGTGCACGTCCACCTCAATAAATACACATATCAAACATTTTGACATTGCCAATCTAAACACCACCGGGACAGAAAGTTCATCATCCACTAAAAACGTAGTCACAAATATTTTCACTGATGAAATAACGTGCAACATAACTGCGCATGGTTTTTGAATTAATGGCACGCAATAATAATTCTAAACAACAATGTTTTTTTTTGCTTTGTTAGTTCAGAATGAAGAACTATGAAAATATAAACATATAAAGTAAATAATTTAGTAAAACCTGGGTCAGTGGTAAATATTTGTCAACTAAACACACTTTAGAACCTTTATTAACCTTCTATGTTGTCATTACGGTTTTTAGTTTTTATTATTTTCCTGAAGTGAAGCTTGTTTTCAAATGTTTCCCAATAGTGAATGTTTCATATGAGTAACAATGACAAACTGAAATTTAAAATTAACACGCCTGGAAAACGTCAAGCGCAGCGTTGAGAGTGCCCGGATGTGTATCGCCGCTCATCGAGGTCTTCCACACATTGCTGTTAGTCATTATACAGCAACATTGACTACCCATAATGCATCGCAGACTAACCTATAACCATGAAAAATCACAATATCTTAAGATGGACATTGATATTAATGTACCATTGATTATGAAATTGATTGAAACACTGAAAAACACGAATCAAAACAGTTACATTATATAAACACAACTCTTCACCATGGAAATACAATATTTGTAAGGTATTCGGTCATCTTATTTTCACAAATGACTTGATGCTGTGTTGTCATAGCAACGATTTTGCGGCAAGTGTTCTAGAAAACAAACAAACATAATCACCCATTACATAATGCCAGAATAGCCTATCATATGTCACAATTACAAATAGACATGTACATATCTGATCTAAAACACATAGTTTTATTGTACTCATTTTAATCTGCATATTAAAGACTGTATTCATATATCAGATATGCAAACAAACTTCAAAATATAGATTCCATTTTAAATAATCCGTTTGTAGACATTAATAATCTAGTTAATTGTTAATTAAAAAAGATCTTTTACTTTGATTATATTCAATGTGATATAGTAAATGTTATTATTGCTAATGTTTACATGTGATATGCATGAACTGATGTTTATGCGAATAAATGTTATTGCACGACAAACTTGATTTGAAATCAGTTGTACCTGTATCTTGATGAAGATATTTTTTTGCAGTTGTTGAGGCCGAATCTGAAAAATAAATGAGACAAAGTTTAGGAATGTGGAATCTGAATCATTATATGTCAGTTGTCAGGCAGTAAGTCGAGAGCGGGCAGCCTCCAAACACCTAGGCGTCACATCTGAGGCTACCCTGCCCCTGCTTCGTAACAAGTTCTTTTCGCAACGTCCAATACTGTCACGTGCACGTGCCATTTCAATGCCTGATTACGAACTATTAAACACATGACTTTCCCGGGGAGCCCGCTGTTGTATTGTCCATTAACCGAACGCACCTATGCGTCATAACATTAATGGGCGATGCAATCGAGTGAATGACGCATAATCCATCAAACATTATCAGAGTTATCACACAGTGTCCCGGTGATTGAACGACAAATGATATGTTGTCAATTATGTTTATTATATGTGTGTTTGCATTCGTGTATTTCCTGTTGGAACAGTGTCTGCCTGATCGTCCGCAAGGTTGGGCAAGGGATGGACTAATCAGATATGGCGGTCATGATATGGACCGTACTATTTAGGACTTGAATAAGTAGCTGACTAATCTCGATAAATTATTCTTTCATAAATTCTAAATAAAAAAAGGCTTCCCGAACCAAAGAAAATAAAAGTCAAGTTTCCAACGACAACCACATAGATATTGTAATTCAATAAAGGGTTTGTATATTTGACAATTTCATTAGATTCCTATTAAAATGATTATCACTACCACCTCTGTCTTCGGGGAATAAAATGTGTTTATTAGTTTCGTGTAACATGTTGTAATGCTAAATGTATGATTATTTGACACCCCAAAAATGAATTACGGCATATAATCCACCACACATTCTCGGTTCTGGTTAGAGAAGGTCATGTGATATGTGTAGTGGCCGCCGAGCACTATGCGTTATAATTGACGTCATCACATTAGGGAAAACATAAGAGATTTACCTGTAGAACTACAAAGACAGCACGATGAACAGAACGTGTCCCTCCACTGGTTTTGGACATCGTTCTTCAAAGCGCAGAAAAATATAAATATAAATAATCCTTGAAGAGAATTGGCAATCGCAAACAAATAATTGACGACTAAACCAGCCTCACTGATTGCCAGTATCGCCAAAGCCCAGGTGATACCAAGCAGTACAAATAAACTGACAGATCCACGAAGTTGTGCTGCTTTACCATATCGATCTGATGTAGACATCTTTTTAGAATTAAGACTGCATATTTGGTGAACAACAAGGATATATATCACTGTATTGAAGATGAGTACTAGACAGACTGGAGCCAAGAACGCAGCAAAGAAGGCGTATCTGGATAGCCAACATCTTAAAATAAAAATGAAATAAATATAATATAGTATAACATGATATACCCACTGAAAGGTCGCTCGAGGGGCTGTAAATCACTCACTAAAAAAACTAAGCTAAACTATTTGCTCAAGGTGAACTCCTTTTGTACAGTATTACGTACTGCATACCGCCCTCTATGGCTAAGTGTATGGTATGTAATGAACTCTTGCTTGCTTGAGACAGAAGTGACAATTGTTCCTCGTACAAAGGCGTAATTCGTAGGATTACTTCTGAAGGAAGCCAATAGGGATAATACAACACTAAAAAGAAGTTTCTAACAGAAATTTCAAGTTACCTGTACAACTCTTGTTTTCACATACTACATTACATATTTAATTTACGTAATTTAAGTTGATGTTACTTACATGTTGTTATGGTAACCGTAGTTATCAATATCAATTGTCAGAGTGATCGCGATGATAACTACGGGTATACCTGCAATAAACAAGTCAGTCGTCATGGTTACAACTAATTGCAGTGTACACCATCACAATATAATTATTATGAACAGACTGTAATTAACATCGCTGACAAATTGACAATAACTTTACACTAACTAAATTTTACACCGACATGCCACGCATATTAGACACTTTTGACAATTTATTTTTATGTTGAAAACATTTATTTTCTTATGCAGCACAAAGTTGAACTGTCTAAGACTATATAAGGCGTTTTTTTATAAACACGATTCTCATTTCACATTCAGATTTATACGTAACGTACTACATAATGTCTCAAACGGTCGTTGTATCCCATACTCATATCTATATTTATTTGCAATTATTCATTACGTAACAGTGTGACTCACCCCATCCAATCAGACAGAACTTCAACATGAAGTGTCTGATATATGTCTTGAATATTTTCACCAGTTGTAAATACATATTGAATGCTTCTAGTGCCATCCACATCACGACAGCCAATAAGAAATAGTGTAATAAAACAGCCATGGTAGTACAAAGCTCGGGTATGATTGGTGCAAAATCCAAAGAAAATGAAACGGCCAAAAATAATAACAATGACATGAAAATGGCAAAACACAAATTCATAAGTATCTTAGTTGGGTTGTCTTTTCTCAGGCGCCTGAAGAAGAAATATGAAACTACCATAAAGGAATTGCTTTGGATGAATGTGCGATTCACATACGCAATAATACGAGAATAACACAACGCATTTTTGTAACATACAAACCTGAATGCGAGAAATGTGATCAGAGTCAGAAGCATACACAACAGAGATATACCACATCCGATGTAAGATACAATGGACAACGCCTTCTGGTGACCTTCATCAAATTCAGACGCGGTTCCATAAACATCCTATAAAATAAATAAATATGTATATATATATATCTGTTCTATTTTTATAGAAGGACCTTCCCAAATTTTAAAACATAAGAGGTAGTCACTAAACCATGTACTTTCACATTCAAGCAAGAGAATAGACATGTTGGTGAACTAGCCTCGCACTGTGAGTGTTTTATTGTTTACACTCTGTAAAATACCATTTTTTTTTGCAAATAAAAAAATTAGAAAAAAAGAACTGCAGACCTCACTTCTTTATATTTTTGAGTGGGCCAGCCAAGTTTCCACATACAAAAATACACATAATATTTCTATTTAATTTATTTTATTTTATAACATAATATTGCCACTGAATTCTTTAAAATAAATTTACCATTTACAAATTAATGTGTTGGACACTATATAATCTTAATATTTTACAATCTATATCCTTATATTTGAATCTGTTTCAAGACATTTGAAAACAAAAATATTTTAGAAGCATAACAATACAACGACTTGATTTGGTGTCAAAGTTTGCTCCCAATTCATACTGGAATATTTCCAGCAGTAATTAATAAAGCCAGTTCAGAATACCATTTATTCTCGACATCATATTCAATGGCTAGTTCTCAGGATCTACAACAGTAAATAAATAAACAGAAATCATTTTGATGCCATGTTTTTAGACGACACCGCCATATCGCACAGATATTCAACACCGCCATATCGAATTTGGATTTGGACCATACCATTTCAAGCTGCAGGGTGTCTAAACAATGACTCGACAAACAATAAACGCATCTTCCACCCACCACACAAATTTTAGCCATAATTGAACAACCAAGAAAACAACAGATATCAGGCTGCATCCTGAAAACAACGAGATTACAACCAGTCATTACAAACATGAAATCCCCCACCCCTCCCAGTACACCCTACAACATTAATGGTTCCTATACTCATGTGCATCTATGTACAAGCTTAGCCAATAGATGCACCTGACTCATCAAACTTTTGACCAACCACTCATTCTAAATATTGTTGAGTGAGGGCGCTATTTACTAATGAGAGGAATCTTTTAAAAACAATTAAACAGATATATATTTTTTTCTTAGCGACAAGAAACACCAATAACCGAAACTTAAAGTAATCTGTGCACTTTTTGTGAGAAATGGCATGAGAAAATACGTCACTTATTTGTATAATGTGAATACACATATGTATTTTGCAACACTTTCCATTTTCTATAGAGTACAGCGTTCAAAATAAATTGAAAAAGCAAATTTTAGCGGGAGGAAAACATTTTAATAATCTATCAAACATTATCAGAGTTACCACACAGTGTCCCGGTGATTGAACGACAAATGATATATTGTCAAGTATGTATATTATATGTGTGTTTGTTTCATAGTGGAACCTGACTAAAAGGATATATTTCCTACATACACTGATTGTTATCACGTTGTAGCACAGTTCAACATTTGAAACGAGGAACAGACCTCGTTAACGATGTACCTACCATAAGTAATGCGAAGTTAGTCAGGTGATCACATTCACAGGTGGTAACATTATGTGAACTTTGACCTGATACATTACATCCGTCTGTAGACCACCCTCCAACATCATCTATCAAAGCAATGTAAACACTATTAATAATTGATACATTAATTAACGCGTAAAACATTTTGTAAATTTTGCCATGCACCCATACTCATAATAACCGTCATCTCAAATAATTGTAAAACTCACCGTTGAGGGAATAGTTCCAGTAAACACATTGGGGATTGACAAGATTCTGAAAGAAGAACAAGATATCAGAATTAACACTTTACACGTAAACGAATCCCAATATGTTCACCTCTCGCCTTGAGTCATGTATGTACAGTTAGGCTATAAAGCGTCACATCTAGTCACGTTTAATCATTTTCAACTTGACGTCTCATTAGTAACAGATAAACAGAATACTTGAAATGTGTCCATTTCGAGTCACACTACTGGATATTGACAGACCCAAATCTCCAGCAGACTGAGGGGTAAAACTATAATTATTAAGAACCTTTTCCTGACACATATGAACAAACTTTTATTTATGACCGCGTCTACGTTTACTGTCTGCGCGTGTTTCGATCCCATACTTAGCTTATGATTTAATGTGTATTTGTCAAAAAATACTCACTTCACTTTGCCATGTAAAGTTGACCTTAACAGGCTCCCTTAAGTCACTAATAATTAGATCTTCAATGCTTGCACCAATGACTGGACTATTCAGTATTCCATATATGGTATTATTACTGACGTCCTGGTCAGATGTCACATGGTTCGATGTCGGGATCGCATCGCCAGGCAACGCTGCACCTACAGCCTGTAACACAACGATATGATTGTATAGTTGTGATTGCATGGTGATTGTCAGGATGTATTAAACATTATTAAATACGACAATAAAGTCTATGTTTATTTTTAATTGGGCTATCATAAATCATAAATAAATATAATAACGATTGCCCAATCTTACAATTCATTTTAAAAGAGAAAATAATCATTTCGACCTATGTTCCATGCCTTGCCTTACCTTGAAAAATAAACTGGATTTATATGATATAAACTGTGCTCTAGACGATCCATCTTGAAAACTGTGTCCATCTAATAAAGACGATGGCAACTGAATCGATGATTTCATATTATTCACTGATGACAATTGACTCATGTCAATATCAAGATTTGTCTATAAACAAGAAAATTTACATAAAATATCGCGTATCGCCACATCACGTCACGTTGTTTACCCACAGGAATAGGTTCGACGTATGTGTGTATGTGAGAGAGTAAAACAAGGCGATGTTGACTGTTTCAAACCTAAAAAAGAACTGGTTTATTTCTCAGTAATACAGAGATAATTAACATGTGTTGTTTATACAGCTGAAGTAAACAACTACTACTAATACTAAATATAAGGTCAGACATGAAGGAGGCATTAAAATCATCTACACACAGGATGTTACGTAATCCATCTACTAATACCAGCCATGAACAATATGTGGTAAGAGTCTGTTTGATGGCGGCAGTATTTGAAATAATACAACTACACAGATTTTCCCACAATTACCTTGTCCACATGGTAATACCGCCAGCGTCTCCGGACTTACACCGCTTCCAGAGAGCTAAAATGCAAAATTGTGTACCTCTTCTCAAAACATAGTACTCCCACTGACCATGATTGTCGAATCCACTCGGGCGGACACGATAGCGATTATTACGTTTATACGTCACAATACGTCATAGGCCAACAGTTTGAGTTTATTTCATGTCCCACAACGCACATAGTGTGAGTGGAATATTGTTGTACTGACCTGATCATTATCTGATACGCTGAATGATATACCGCTGTATAAACTGGTGTTTAGATTAACTATAAATATTATAAAGTTTTCTGTTTCTATTCTCGCTGTCTCATTTTGTAATTCTACATTCAACGCTAATTGGTCGATAGCTTTAATCAGTCTGTGAATAATAAACAGTGATAGAGAGATTATTGTCACCAAAGCGACGCAATTAAAATAATGAAATAATTATTACCCTATCAATATTATCATAATACTGCTATAACTACGCAATGTGTATCAGTTTGTCGAGAAGTGGCGTGAGTTGCGCATAGTTACATTAGTAACTTACCTTGATGCAGTGCCCCCATCTATTTGACTTGCAACCAACACATCCTGTCTGACATCATACAGATTATCAACACTCTTCAAAAGATCGGTGGAAACTTCAATGTTTGTAGTGCTCGTTTTACTGTTATATAGTAGATTGTCAATCACATTCACCGCGAGATAAACATCTACTGCAGCAAAGTACTCGGCAGTAGACGTTAAATCGCATAACTGTTTGGCAATCGCAGGGGCGTTCTCTGTCGAAACAAGTCAAACAGGAAGATTTTCACAGTTGTTTTCAAATTTACTAATTGTTCACAGCAAATCAGATATGTATGTAAAACTTAATATATCGAAGAAGACAGATACTTATGTTTCTAAGCTCATGAAGGACTTAAACCGGAATATGTTAAACGGCATTCGTTGCGGGAAAATCTTTCAATGCGACTTACGCACAGTTGTTGACATTGTGACTAGTTTGTCCAAACTATGGGTTGCGGGAGTTGTGGTAACAACATCACATTTGCTCGTATCTTGTTTTCCCCATTCACCATTACTATTACTGAAACAAATCATGAAATCAATATAACTAAATGCAAATTCCAACCGATTCGTGTTATATACAATATATGGCATTATGCCGTAATATAAATAACTCCATTGTTGTCAGGCCACGAACGACACATTTAAGTATGAACTTTGTGAAAATGCTGAGAGACAGTTTTGTCTACTGAAGTAACTGAGTCTACCCTCTGTGTGTATGTATGAATGATACACAGCTAGAGCATTGTGAGGAAACGGAACAGCCCTGATGTACCTATGTGCATATTGTGTCGCCACAAGTACACGTCCATTATACTGCGAGTGTATGTTGTTTTTTGCATTACAAGTTTATATATTAGAAATTAAGACATAAATCGAGTTCACATGATGAACTTTAGTCTGCTTTGATGAATATGTATGAAACGTTGTGCAGCATCAGCCATTGTCCTTACCATTTTCTTGTGACCGTTAACCCAGTCTTGGGCGATACGAAGGGACATTTCACTTCAGCCGTTGTACCTGCTGGTGTAGGCCCCCACTGAATATCAACGTTGGCATACGAAGTTACACAGTGTGGGCATTCAATGTTCTCTGGGATGTTAATTTCTAACGGTAGAAATGCATTACAGTGTGATTTCCTACACACACAAGTACGTTCACATGCATCACATTGTTTTTCAGTAGCATCTGAACATCCTTTGCTGACGCTGTACTGATTGCCACTCACACTGATGTTAGTAAAGCAACTTCTTTGATTCTGTTTAAATACAATAACACACATATAACATTACAATCGAATACAATTAATATGAATCGATAAACGAATTGACACCCAATAATGTAATACAGAAAGTGAATGACATTTATCTTTTTATGGCACAATGTAAATAGAAATAATTTAATTCCATTCCACAACAGAATACACGAATAACTACAACATTATTCTTAATGTCGTGGATGAAAGTCTGGAACTAGAATTACATAATTACTCCAAGATGTCTGTCACGTGAAAATATTTCACTTAGTACACTCACAAATATTTTTTTTGCTGAATTCGAGCCTCAACTTAAATCATGCAATTGAATCCGAAAGGCACTAACTTGGGGATGCTCATTTTGAAGTAATTTTTTCTTATTTTGTCCCATTATTCAAAATTACATTACGAAAAATGAATATGTCATATATTAATTACAACACCACATGCAGGTTTGTCGTGAAATCTTCGAGTTCATTTTTTATGTTTCAAAACATGGTGCATTTTTTTGCCAGTAATTTGATAGTTCATTTCCATCATATTAAATTGAGGGCGCTGTAAAACGATGTACAAACTGAACTGACGTGTTCCATAACATACAGATTAATGTTGTAGTTAGTAGACACGTGGTAACGTAACATGAAGACGTAATTAACAAAAAACAAATTAGCAATACGTGAAGTAAGATAATTGTTTCATACATTTGTACATTGTGTTGTATTGATGGTACATTCTCCAAATGTATGTCGATTCTCACACGTATAGCAATATCTTGATTTGCCTGTTAGTGAAACAAATAAAATTACATTACGAAACAAGTGTTTATGCTGTGTTGCTTTGAATGTTCCCTGAAATAGACTTGAAAAAAGCGAACGCAAACTGCACGCAGTGAACTTGTGTATAGTATGCATAGAATGTTTTATATTATTAGCATACACAGGTTAGTTAATATATTTAGTCTGTTTCACTGGTTATTGACATCTCACTCAAACATATACTCATATCACGGTGTATGCCATGTAAGTGTTTTTCCTGCAGTGCCCAAAGTAATGTAGCCACGCACTGGTTGCACAGTATACACTTCTTTACTCCTATTAAATAGCAATATCACAATTATCATTTATTAACATACACGTAGTTGCTGGTAATTAACCGCCTATAATGTACATGTTAATCAGTCACGAAATATTTGCCGCATACACAAATTCCAAATAGCTCATTGGGTATGATTACAGTGATACGAGCATCTCGCTAAAAAACGTCCAATATAGAATCATGTATTTTCAGTCGTGTGTAATAAAGCGGCCACGTAATTCAGTTCCTCGAACGGAACTTGGAGTTATGGGCTGGGCCACCTGGCTAACGTCTGAATTGAAACTTTACACGCTTCTATGTGAAAGTATTTTTTGCAAAAATAGTCAGTGTAGCGACTCTTCAATCATACACTCACCGTTACACGTGAAATCGCTTCTTTGGGAGTTCTTTATCAATTGGAAAGTTCCGTTTTTCCTACATTCAGCGCCAGTTATATTCATATTCTCAAAGTACTCTATTTGGGCTGTGAGTGCTGAATGAAGCCATCTTATCTCACAGTTGCATGTCATATTGTTACCAGAGAGGTTACTGTAATACAACCAATAACACTAGTCTCAATAAACGTCTGTAGTTTAACTAGATTAACATCCGTCCTGTGTATGTTCGTAATACTATGTCTGTAATTGTATACATTCTGACAATCACTCGCCCTACTAAACGATCAATGAATTCAATTTATTGTTTTAAAAACACATTTTTGGTGACAATCAATATTTCCATTTATTTGTGTGGTCGAACGATACTTAGAAAATGTTAATCGGTTCATGTACGTTTATGTAATATTAATTTCAAATATCTACATTCTGCCTAAATTTGGTACAATTTGCTTCACGGTAAGCCCGGGTGCTCTATCTTGCAAAGACAAACAAATGTTATTAATTAGTGTCTATTATGGCCAGGTTGTCCCTCATTTGTTCTTTATAACTTTTGTTGTTGTTTGAACAGTGTATTCAGCCGATGACCTATTATTTATGACTCTAACCCCAAAAATGAATGAGGAGCTGCAACAGGGGTCTTGGGCAGTTTGAAATCTGAAAGGTGAATTCATATACTGCGCTATATAAAACAAAAATGAAGTATGTCACATTCCATAAGGCTAGCTAGTAAAACCTGAGCGAAGCGAGACGATGAGACAATCATAATTTAATTATTTTACACTCTCTGTAACCGTCAATTGGTTACTACGCCAAGCGATCATTTCGATCAGCTCAGGTGTTACTGGTAGTACATGTTACAATATATCCCTACTAATTAAATGTGCTGGAATAAGATATTACTTTATACAAATGTATGTGGAATCAAGGTATGTCATTTACATGAATAAACCAATTCTTATTCATGGAATCAAATTGTCAAAAGAAACCAGTGCACCCAATGAAAGATTTAAAGCTCTAGACATGTTTTTAGAGATTTAAACAAAGGTTAAGGCAGCCAAAACAATCATTATATTTTATAATATATTCTTGCCAAAGTACTAACTTATCGATTTTAGTGACATGTCGTGCATATCGTTGGACGACGCAGGTGAGTTAGTTGGAATGAAAATATAACTTCAAAAACGTAACTCAAGATAATCTATTGTGATTGTTTTTTAATAAACGTCAAATAATTAACTTGTTTTACACTGTCAATGTACTTCACAAACTCATTGACTATAAAGATATTATTGCATTGTGGTAACTTAGACAGACTGACTCGTTTATTGATGTGCTTTTCAGTATACTTACATGTTTGTTAGATTTTTCAATGAAAACAAATCAGCAAAGCTTATTGTTGTTAAACTATTATTTCCCAAATCTCTGTATAAAAATAACAATAACAGGTTTAAAGCTGTACATGAACATGGTGTTTTAATACATTTGTGCATACTCAGTATTCGGCATTTCCTGTGAGTGCCTCAGTCTATTCCAATGTATTTGCTTAGTCCTCTACCTACAAAATGTCCGTTGATTGAGTGACGTATTTTCCTTGCTAGCTATTTAAAATAATACATGTACAATTTCTACTTCTATTTTACCTTCGAGTATTTTGGTTTGCATGTTTGTATGTTTGACCTAATTCTATTTCACGCTATTACGCATCAGGTGAGAACGACATCTTTTTCTATGTCACATCCAAAATAGTTAATTGATAGATGCTTTAATAAAAATATGTGTAATTGTTCACATGCTGGAAGCACGTTTCTTTAAACATAACAAAGTAAGAAATCAAACTTAACAATCAACTGCAGAACACAAAATAAAGACCACATTGTATTGTTATAGAGCACAGATACGTTCCCGAATCAACCGTGCCAATTTAAAAACTAACAATACTATTTCGTGTCATCAATACAGAGCTGACACGTAACTAATATATAAATAAATTTCGTGTTATCAGAGAGAGTGAGAAACATCTTAAAAGACTTGTTATAAAAGAATTGTACTTACAAAATGACAGTATTAGTCGGTAGATTAGTAGGAAATTCTCTTAATCCCAGACCGCTACAATTCACTTTCTTTCCATGTTCAGTATAAATACACGATGACTTCGTAGGTAAAGAATTGGCTAACACTATACATATAATAGCAACACTAATCCAGTACAGATTTATCATTTCCATATCGTTGTCTTCGCCTCACAACAGATATTGTGGACTTTTGGCTGGGAACAATATGAGTGGTTAAGTTAAGATAACACTCGAAACTTCAAACACAGATACTAAAATGTTGACGACAAAATTTATGTTCATTGTTTGTGTTCATATCTCTTATATATCGTTGCCCAAATATTATGTATTAATCGGTTGCTTGGTGCAGTGAGATGATTGTATTTAACACGGTGTTTATCCGAACACATGTCTACCCTGATAGCGAGTGAGAAGTGAACATATTGGAAACATGTCAATTTCAATATTTAAGATGGTATAGGCGTAGACTGGTGCAGGAGTAGAGTAATTGCCGGGTGAATACGATGAATCCTAAGCTAAACTGTGTGAACAATTTCATTTTGAATCTACCTTTTTTGACTTTTCTATATTGACCTTGAAAATTCAAGAATTTGGCTGCAATGTATATCGCATGCCATTTATTAAAGAAAACAGAACTCATGTTTCAAAAGACCTAAATGTTTTTTCCTTTCGTAATCCAAGAGTGATAAATCAACAGATGGTGTATATAGAGCTGAATTTGACATTGACCGTTGGTAGTACGAAAACAATGTGCACATTATTTGAGAGTAGAGAATTCCCATTTAAATGTACTTCACATATATCTATGCTATCGAATCCAGGGATAGAGTTCGGCTGATATTGTTAATTAACGGTCTGTTTTAAAGCAGAAGAGTCCGTGGCGCGTAGATGCACGAATTTTATTTAAAATTGACGAAATGGTGCTTCTCATACATATTACACCTAATCGTCAGGTTGGCTCAAACAATTTCAAGTCGACTCCCCCCCCCCCAAAAAAAAAACAACGGAAATTTTCGTCGAAAATTAAAAAAAGAGTATGGAGAAAATGTGTTGAAAATGTGAAAATTTCTGTAGTTTAGTTCCTGTCGCAAAACTTTAATTGTTTTAAATCAGATTGGTGTTGGACAAGTCACGAGGCACGGTAGTTGAATGTCTCAATCGGCATACAGTGACATTTGTTGACCTCCGATGTAACATCCTCAAGGGTAACGCCAGGAGACAGACTCTAAGGTAGTCCGAGAACGGCAACGAAAAACCAATATGACGGACAGGACCGACCGGTGACTACACCGAACTATATCCCCGACCTTTTAAAAGCAGGTGTACTAGGTCGTGCGTGATCGAGCACTGATACTGATAATTCACAATACATCAAGACGTTTAAATAGCGCGCTTGATAATATTTCAAAAAATGACCGACTGGGAATTTGTCAGTGACCAGATTAATTTGGTTTGCTTTCATTTTAGCGTACGGGCTGGTTCGATTCTAGATTTCCAAACACGAAATGACCTAGCTTCATTAAAAACAGTGTCCTCGTTTTGGGAGATTGCTAGTAGCAATAAATAAGTTACAGCGTGCCGTAATTCAACCTTATATTATAATTACATTCTCAGCAATGCTGATATAGTATAGTATATAATAGGTAACAAGCTACGTTAAAAAAAATTACATAACACCATAATAATGACTTTAAATACTTTAAATGTGCAATTCTTCTAATATTTTTAACACAAAAATCAGGTTGTTTACTTATATTTGTGTGAGGCATAAATATTTCTGTCCATCTGAACAGCGAGTTGTGATGTCTCAGATTAGGTATCAGTGTCCGCTAAACTCCAAAAACAGAACAGGGGGGAGGATAGAATTGCAATTTCTCGAGGTCGTCTGAAATAACGTCAGCGAGCTATTCTATCGTAGTTTTGTTGTCAATACGTTATTCGCTCCAGTAAGCTCCTCGTTAAATCACCATACGTTCCCTGACTCCCTGTGCGCTAAGTACACTGTCATTTTGTTACTGCTAAAGTTTAGCGCTATGCGTACATACAATATTTGGTGGCATTATAATTGAGTGTATTGAACCTATTATTTGATCCAACATTCAAAGGTTTGTTATCACGCAAATGCGACCTGTGCGGAGTCCCTTTATTCCACAATTACGCATTTAGTCATTTTCGCCTTTGTATGACGTATTCGGTGACACTCACACAACAAGACACGGGATGGAACCTTGTTGGATGCAACGAACTGTATGATTGCGATATTGACAACACGGCTTTGTAAATCTAATATTAAACTGATCATAATTCGAGCAGCCAGCCCGCTTTAATCGGGGAAACTGTTGGCATAGACTTGTACTGTGACTATTTTTTTTTATCCGTGTACTTAAATAAATTTTTAAGTTTATTGTATTGTCTATCGGATGACCATTCCAATGTTGTACTGTAATTCGGTTATTGGATTCCAAGATCGCATTCGCTTCTATATAAGGAATGGTTTCATCGTCGAACCACACGGAATGAGGTTACTTTCAAAGCATGTATACAATCTTAAAATAGCCAACGAGGTCAGTTACGTTGGATTGTTTGTAATGCCACGACTACCATAACGTATTATACAATTTGTCACACCGACTAAAACATCATGCTATGAGGAAGTGAAAAAAATTAATATCTCGCGTCGTCAACACGTAGACAGCCAACCAACCTCCTACAAAAACGATCACCTAATAGTAATGCCTGGGCAGCACGATTATCGCAGAATGTTTTGAAATAAACACACACTGGGTGTGTGCTGACGATACAAGACATGGCTATGTGTGTTTCTGCCGTTACGAGGATTTCTGTACCATTAAATGAAAGAAATACTTACACAATCAGGCAAGTGTTGGTTGTAAAACCAACAATGGGTAGCTGTATTCACTCATTGTCCATTGTAGATTTCTACTGTACACAGCTTAGCGACGTATACTGTGAAGCAAGAATGGATCCCTTATGGCATCCTAAGATATATAATTGACGTCATCTCATTTAAATTAGTAAGACAGTAAATACAAAACATAGTGCACGCATCGGACCATTCATCGAGTAGTGATCGCCCACGTCGGTAATAATCTTTCTTTCGTGTTTGATAAAAACACGTTTATACATTTTCCAAACACAAAATGAAATAAAAAAAGACTTATAACATGATTTCTCCTCCAATTTCTGTCGTATACGAAGACTCAAGTAGTCGCACTAAACAGGAAATCCGTAATATTTTGAAGTTACTTGCAATATTCGAATTACGTGTATACAGCTATAACCATATAAATTACAATATATATGGCACTCAGTAATTTCCTTCTCTTATAAGATGCTAGGCAAACTAGCCCTCACCTTCAGACATGCCAAGGTGAAACTGACGATGGGGCACGCCGATATATTGGTAGTATTATGGGATGGAGATGGAAAATTACAATTCTGACCGGCTATGTCTCAAATTAGTTTACACACGTTTTAACAGATACGTAATTTTAATACCTTTTACTTTTTCAGTTTCACATTTATTTATGTATTGATGCGATTAAAATGTTCACTATATGACTAATCAACACAATTTTGCACAAAAAACGATGAGACAGTCAGTACATCGTTAAATAATTTTAGCACGATTAGTATACTTTCTATAAAAAGTGAGAAAATATAAGGCAAGTTATTCATATTTAATTGAAATCACCGTTTGGAAAACACGATTTCCATGTAAACCAATCTTGCCTCTATACATACGACTTATTCTTATATGTTGCATAACATGACAATTATTAAACCCCATTATGTACAGATTTATTGCATTATGAATTATGCAAAAACAACTTTTAAATTATATTAAAGACATTTTTTCACGAGGCTGAACGTCATTTCCAACTTAAATTATTATTTTGATGATTTTTTTTCGTAATATTCATAAAAACTATATGCCAATACAAGTACATCGAATAAATTTGCGAGTAATGTTTATTATGTTTGCAATAAAAGGGGAAACTGAAGGATTATTTTCACAGCTCTTCTTGGTTGTCACTTGTTGCTATGCTCACATACTTGCATAATATTGAAATGAAAGAGTCGAGTCAATAATGTTGGATTTAGTTTAAAAACTAAACATATACAAGTTATATTTAGCTTGAACTCGTAAAAGATAATAACATACTTGACGGACATTTACGATACTGTTACCATGGAGATGCATAACACTGTTTTATATTTCACTTTGTAGTACGTAAATTTCATGACAAGTAATACTTGTTTGTAACTAACATACTGCCAGTTTGGCTATCATCAAATATAATTAATATCCATTTAAACAACGACTTCTTGTTACTAAGATATTTGAGATATAATTTCGTTACGTAGTCCAGGCTTGGCCTCTTGCCATGTACGCATGTACATCGGTGTATTCGACCAAGGTCAGTGAACTACTAGTATACATTATGCCTGTAAAGCGCGCCACTTAGTGACGTTGTGTCGACGCTTGTCATCAAAATACAGTAAAATCTCTCAAACACATCTCAAAACAATATCAACGATATACGTCAGAGGAATGCTTCGTATAATTAGACATTAATATGCCAGGAAAACCCGTAAGTGTCGTTCCGAATGCCCAAATACATGTAAAATATAATTTGAAGCCATCTACTGATTGCTGGTCGTGTATTCTATAGCTATGGTGATTACGTAAAAACTATGAAATACTTAGTTGATAGAGGTTGTCGAAGAAGTAAATTAAATTCTGAAACGTATAATTATGCGGTTGAAACGGGAACTGAAAACTCTTTCCATCAAAACCATTCGATGCTTGCAAGTCATCTTATTTTCACAATTCACTTGATGCCATGTTGTCATAGTAACGCTTCTGAGGCAATGATTCTACAAAACAAAACAAAATACTTCATGTCAGTACACCAAAACCTACACCAGAGTTCGATTAACTTATCAACTCTCAGCCATGACTTTTATTACATATTTCACATTCATATCAAGGAGTTCCTCTGTAGACCAATCCACACATACCGAATATGGATTACCAAGGAGATGGATGTCAATTATTTGTGTATGTTAATACAGTTATTAATACCATGAATATAATTAGACAGGTATTTAAATCTTTGTAGTTAATATCCCTCCGAAAAGTTGCCTGATAAAAATATCATACCTGATTTATCTGTATCTGGATGAAGATATTTCCTAGCTGATGAACCAGACTCTGATAAATAAATAAGACACTTGTTAAAGAAGCGTCATTTATTAAACTGTGCGATTCATCAAATTGTCAAATTGTAGGCATTTTAAAGGTCACAAAGGAGATAATCCCATGAATTTGCGTTTGAGTTGTTTTTTCAGTGGTAAAAATACATGAGAAAAAAATATTTATCAAGATTTAATCTTTGGTGTATCAAGTTTAAACCCTGATTTGCGTCTACTGTTGCAGAATTTACATTGGGAACAGTTACTATGGAGATTTTCATTGTAATGTAAACATGTACATTTTGTGGAAGCATTCATGTAAGAGAATGACGTATGATTTATTTGTATAACACGGAAAATGATGGAAAATCATTTGAATACAAATCAACAATAAACTAATATTTAAATTGAAAGTTTGAATTTAGCTATTCAACAGCTTCACCGGAGCGCCACCAATGATACAACTAAACATAGAAATGAAGGGCGCCACCATAGGGACAGAACTTACCTGTAGCATTGGAACCACGACGAGAACACGGTGAACAGAATGAGTTCCTCCACTGTTTCTTGACATCAGTATTCGAAGCGCAGAAAAATATAAATATAAATAATCCTTGGAGAGTATTGGCAATTGCAAACAAATAATTGACGACTAAACCAGCCTCACTGATTGCCAGTATCGCCAAAGCCCAGGTGATACCAAGGAGTACAAATAAACTGACAGATCCACGAAGTTGTGCTGCTTTGCCGTATCGATCTGATGTAGACATATTTTTAGAATAAAGGCTGCATATTTGGTGAACAACAAGAATATATATCACTGTATTGAAGATGAGTACTAGACATACTGGAGCCAAGAATGCAGCAAAGAAGGCGTATCTCGATAACCAACATCTGAAATTAAAATAAAATAAATATGTGTGACCTCAGAATCTTTACAACGGGAAAAAGTGTAACTGGTACAATGATACACACTGGTTTTACGTCAACACCTGATCATTAGATGAAAATTTATTTTACAATTCTAATTATTGGTACTTACATGTTGTTATGGTAACCATAGTTGTCAATATTGACTGCTAAGGTAATCACAACAGTAACCAGGGGTATACCTATAATGAATAATTCATAAAGATAAACAACCGATTCAGGGAGTATTATTATGGAGAATTATCGCATGACAGTTAGAATAAAACACTTGTTAGACACTATAATTGAAACTTATTTTATGCTTGGATCCGTGTGCGAAGCGCACAATAGGAAATGTTACGGTTGTGTATGTATATCTCTTCCAATGATATCTCAGAACTGCTCATCGTATGAATGAATAAAACCTGCACGTATATGCTATTGTATAATACACATACCTGAATAATTGAAATATTAATATTAATGAATATTAAATACCTAATTTGCATAATAATTAACCAATTTCTAACTGTTTAAACGAGATCTCGGACGTTACTCAACAGATTCAAATGAAATCTAGCACATATATGTTCTGGGATACTCCACAAACGTGATTAGTTTAGAGCTGTTATCTTTACATAATTACTCACCTAATTTACATAAATTATCCAATGTTAAGCTGTTTTATCGGTTTCTCAAGAACAATTCATCAGATTTCAATAAAATTTGGTGTAAGCTGATTTGTTTATTGTTGGAATCCGTGAATAGTAATTACCTAATTTGCATAGTTGGGGACGTTCTGATGTCTCAACTACCACAGATTTCATAGATATTTTGGTATAATGCACAGACCTTACCTTACTTTTTGTTAAAATCGTGGCATAATAATTAAAGTAAATCTTTGTAAGCCGACAAGCTTCTTATTTAAGAGGTTAATCTTATTTTTTTATTTTAAATATCCCCCATTTCTACTTCATATGCATCCAATACGCTCAACACTTTTATGATATGATTTATGAACATTTTGTCTTTGCGAACAAAAGATTCACATGACATGTATTCAAAAGAATGTGTCCCTTTTCTGTTACTTTTGGGAAAATTTAGTTTTCCAGAAAATATTAATATTATATAAAACAAATCATATATTTGACAACTTGGTCACCAAGAAGTGATGATTAAAATTAGATTTCGAGCATTATACAACTCATTAAATTCATTATATATTACATAACATTGCAACTCACCCCATCCAATGAGACAAAACTTCATCATCAAGTATCTGATATACGTATTGAATACTTTCACCAATAATAAATACATATTGAATGCTTCTAGTGCCATCCACATCATAACAGCCAATAAGAAATAGTGTAACAACACAGCCATGGTCGTACAAAGCTCTGGTATGATTGGTGCAAAATCCACAGAGAACGAAACAGCCAAAAATAATAACAATGACATCAAAATGGCAAAACACAAATTCATGAGTATCTTGGCTGGGTTGTCTTTTCTCAGACGTCTAATAAAAGAGACATACAAATAAAAAAACTGTATTAATTCAACTTTATTGAGAGGAAGTTGCATTTTGAGACTCCGACGTCGTTATTGTGTATCATTCACACATACATGTATTTGTCATCTGGACCCATACTATAGTAGTTATTCAAGATATAAATTTGTTAATTCAGTAAACATGATGTGTATTAATCATAGTGACACTTTATGCAGTAATATTATTAAATAAAGAGGATATTGAAGGTGCAGTGAGTGTAATAACGAGATAGATGATGAGTGTGTGGTTTCCAATTACAAGTATCAGTCAGGCACTATACCGCTTTTTGTGTTCATTAACTCGGCGAAGGATATTGCCCTAGTGTGACCTGTGTCAATGTGTGTTAAGTATTTAGAAGGTTAGAGTCAATTAGTAGATTATACTCCGAATTTTATTGTTATAGGTTCTTGACAAAAAAAATGAAATTGGCATTGGTATACTGGTTTATGTGGACAGATTATTTTCTTTCATATCACTTTCATATTACTCAGAGGTATGGGATGAACACGTTTCCAGGGTGATAATAGTCTTTACTTATAACCTTAATTATACGAAGCACGAACCTGAATGCAAGAAATGTTACTAGAGTCAGAAGCATACATAACATAGATATACCACATCCGATGTAAGATACAATAGACAAAGCATTCTGGTGACCTTCATCAAATTCAGATGCGGTTCCATAAACATCCTATAAAATAAATAAATAAATTAGGCAAGTGGAGGAACCCTGGTAAGACAAAGATTATTAGATTCTATTCCTGGTACTCGGTCAATTTATCTGTTTCTAACGCGCATTATACAAAAATAACGTTTCTATACTGAAATGATTGAACCTCTCTGTACGTTGGTGATGTTAGATGTTATGTTTTAAAATATGGTTTCTTGTTTTAATGACATCTACGTACCATCAGTACTGCAAAGTTAGTCAGGTGATCACATTCACAGGTTATCAATTTATCTGAAATTTGAACTAACAAGTTGCATCCATCTCCAGACCACCCGCCGACATAATCTGACAAAACGATGTATATAATAAAAAACACACACAAAGTACATTAGTCACTATTCAACACCAGCAAACTGACACGAAAACAAATATATAGTTATATATAAATTATGTTTCAATCGCTATGTAAAACTCACCATTGAGTGAGGAATTATATATATATAGTATATTTATCGCATACACAAACAATGAAATTCCTGGTATGGTCGCCATTTTTTAGAATAATAATGTAATAAATTTGTTCACGAAATAATACTCACTTCATTTTGCCATGTAAGGTTGATTTGAACAGGCTCCCCTAAGTCACTAATAATTAGGCTCCCAATGCTTGCACCAATGACTGGACTATTCAGCATTCCATATATGGTATCATTACTGACACCATGGGACGATGTTACATTATTTGACGTAGATATCGTCTCGTCAGACATTGCTACAGCTACAGTCTGGGAAAAGTTGTCAACACAAATATATTTTACAAGATAGAGTATGTTTTTTCGGGGTAAACAATACCTAAAATACAAGATTCTAATGTCTTCCGTATTTCTTATACAATTTAATTACTTTAATTCAAACAAATATAGATTTATATCGTCTCGTGAAAAAGACAGTAGATAGCATATATCACAATTTTATTGTTCGGTTTATATGTAGATGGTGCGAATTAACCGAAGATATAACATTAGGTGGGGGATCTACTCCGACTTACCGTAAACAGCATATTGGATTTATATGATATAAACTGTGCTCTGGACGATCCATCTTGAAAACTGTGTCCATCTAATAAAGACGATGGCAGCTGAATTGACGATTTCATATTACCTTTTAGCGACGAAGAACTCCTGTCAGTGCCCACTTTGACCTAGTGTACAAAATGTTGAGCAGCCTTTTAATGAACACAGGTTGTTAAATGACATTTTTGTACAACGTAATTCTGTTATTCTTGTTGATATTATATAGCTAATGTGTTTATATCAAACACGAAAACGGTTGAACAAATTTCAGTAACTTGACTTTACTTTGATCTATAACTTTACAATAATAGTGTTTGAAAACGACGGCGCAGTCGCTGTACAGTGGTTCCTGAGAAACAAACATAATGTACTATAATAACTCGAATAATTGCATTGTTCAAAAAGCAATCGACAATTGTTAGACGACTGTTGACGTTTAAATTGTCATGTCCTTGTCAAGTACCTTCTTGGGATTAAAGCTCGTTTCAAATAACTACTCAACACGTTAGATACAGTTAAATGCCCGTTTGCTGACAAGACAGGGGCAGAAGCCACCGAGTAGCCTACGCAAACTATTATGTTTATTCATCTCTCAGTGAAACATACTCTAGCAGAAACTGACATAAACCCCGCCCTCTAAGGTTGCACTAGTCAATTACATTGTCATGACTCATCATATTCTCAGCATTAAACTAATCATAGACACTTCCGTTGATATTATTAATAGCACATGATGTCACAGATTGGGTTGTCATTCTGGAATTGTTATTGAAAATAACCTTACAGCATTTTTTACCTTTCAAATAAATCTACACGTTTTATAGTTTCTTTTAGTACTGGGCCGACCAACTATAATGAGTTCATCGGGATGAACACTGACACAACTTACGCTAAATCAGATATTGTCTATGCCATCAAAATAATTATCACTGTTACATCACCATTATCACGTCATTCCCGTCATGCCGCGTGGTTGTGTAGAAGGAGAGGAAATGGCATCATGACGCTGGCATACATTTCCTTTTCAAAACCTCCCACGTCATGCGACATTTAATTAATTTTATATCATCACTGTGCATTATAAATTTTTGCATATGGTTTGACTGACCTGATCATTATCTACTTCGCTGAAGGATATACCATTATACACGCTGGTGTTTAGATTCATTAGACATATCACAAAGTTGTCTTTTTCTATCGTTTCTGTTTCATTTTGTAAATCAATACTTATCACTAATTTGTCAATAGCTTTGATCAACCTGAAAACAATGAACATAGGTATTATATTACGACCACTTCCACATCCAATTAAACTTATTCTAGGTTGATCTACCGCTGACCATGGATAATGGTGTATCAATTATATGTGAAACGATAACACCGTTCATGCAACTTACCTCGATGCAGTGATGCCATTCTTTTGACTTGTAACCAACACACCCCATTCAACATTAAATAGATTATCAACACTGTTCAGTAGATCTGTGGCAACTTCAATACTTGTAGTGTTGACATCATTGACATTCAGTAAATTGTCAATAACATCTACCGCTAAATATACATCTACTGCAGCAAAGTACTCAGCAGCCGAGGTTAGGTTGAACAAATCTTTGGCAATTTCAGGAGCGTTTTCTGTCAATTAATATTATAACCTAATTGCATCAGCCATGTTCAGTGACACGGAGCGTGTTGATTTCTCAAGAAAGCACATTATCAACATACATAATTAATTTATACACTGATTGATTACAGAATGAACATATATGGAAGTTTGTAATTATTGATGCACTATTTATATTGATAGGCCTATAATTATAAGATATATATAGACACATGCGATACCAAGCATGGATGTCCACATGCTCCCGATTACATAAAACTAGCTATTTAGTTTAGCTATTTAATTCTGTTTAAAAGTTCTTTCTTCGGATTTTTAATGTGGGAACTTGGAACGCTTCAGTGTCGTCTTTCTTAATATTTTATATTTTAATTGTGTATGGCCAGCAATGATGATGAGGGGGAAACTGGGTTGGACACACAAATTGGAAAGTGTACTCACGTGCAGTTAGTTGTAGGTTGACTAGGGTTTCCAGGTGTTTAGTAAACGGAGTTGTCGTTATATTTATACACTGAGTGGTATTTACACGTTCCCAAACTGCGCATCCATTTACTGTGCTATTGCTAATATGGGGTAGAAAATATATAAAAGATCAAATAATTAAACGCATTCATTATAAGATGTGTATTTGAAATCACACAGATTTCTTTCAATTCACTCTTACGACTGAACACTCACCATAATCTAGTTGCCACTGATCCGTCCACGCCATTTGGACATTTCTTTTGGACCAGCTCACCAACTGTTTTGCTTGGCCAATAAAATCTACCATTTTCATTAAACGTTGTTTCTGGGTTGCAATTACTCTTAGAACAAGGAGACACAAAACGCTCTACGGGAAGATATAAATAAATAATGTACTGAGATAGCAGTGCAATTCTATATATACTATGCAGTAGAATGTTTACATTAACATGCAGTTTATACTTTGATCTGAGGGACAAATGGAGCCAGCTGTAAAAATGAAATGAATTACAATTTCACGCTGTATGTCTCTGATATTACGTGTAAAAAAAGTTGAGACGGTAACTCGGATCTTTATGCAGTGACAGTGTGAAGACATGGGTGCCATAGAGGCAAATTTCGAAAAATAACCCCATATTTATTATCATCAATTCTGATGACTGATTATAACTCACCTGGTTCAGATATAGATGTTACTGTAGTGGATGGATGTCCCGTGACTGTGAACACAAATATTGTATAACAATCAAGACGTCTTAAAAGCCTTGATGTTAGTCAACAATCAAAATAAATACATTGGAAGATGTTGGTAATCGTGGTTACCTGTTTTCTTTGTGCTAGCGCCATGTGCAGTCAGTGTTGTGCCAGCTTCTGTTGCAGATGACGTGGTTACTAGGTGAGAATTGAAGTAATATATGAATTAACATAAATTGAAATTATTTGTAGATTTTTTCAAACCAGCTATGTCTGAGATGACATTCTGATTTGAATTCGATGTAGGTATAGGCTCGAACTTTTTAAAAATATTTTTAGGCTTTCGATTTGAATTTTATTTGCATATTTTTTATTGAATAAAAAATCCAAATCAGCCATTTTGTTGACTATAAAACTTTCCCTTCATAAAACAAGCCGGTCTGTATAAGACGATTATTGAATGTTTTATTTATAGATTTGTTTATATTGGGCAGCAAAGGAAAAGGGAAGGACCCGGTATATGACCCCATTAATATGCATATCTGCAATATCTCTAGCACTGTTACAGATATGTAATGCCACCACTGCTATATTTTACTAATGTTATAAAGGATTGCACAAGTAACATAACATATATAATAAATTCACGTGACCTCATTACTATGCATATCTGCTATATATCAAGCACTGTTGCATGCAACCAGTATCATAACGATGGCATCAGACAACAGATATATGACTAATAATTAGATGGCCATATATGGTCATGTGACATCATTAATATGCCTAAATGTGATATCCCATGCACTCCTGCAGATAGGGTCATGCAACAAGTCTAATAATAGACAAGAGATACGACTAACATATCCGATAACCATGTATGATCATATGACATTATACATATGCTCATGTGATCTTTTGAACACAAAAAATCTGTAATATCTAAAGCACTATAAAGGATATGGACATACAAGAAGTGTTATAACGAAGAACGTGGGCAAGAAATGTGACATGTACGATGACAATATACGATCATTGAATCTCATTAATATTCATATTAACTGTAAAACCTCACGAATTATGCATGTACATATGTGCAATCAACGCTATAATAAATACAGAGATAAATAGATATGACTAACATATTAGATTGCTATGTACAGAACAACTACATGCCAAATCATTCATATTTGCTAATTAATATTGCCATTATTGCCTTTTATCGATCGTCTTAACTGCAGGAGAACGATATAAAAAAAAATAACGGCAAGGAAACCAAAAATAGTCATAAATATGCAAAAATAAATAATTGACAAATTGGAGCTTATACCTATTCATCAGATTTTAATCAGATAATCTGAGATATTTGATTATATATTTCATCACATAACGTATCTCCACAGTGTGACGCAATATGAGTCACATTTAAAATGCACATTATATGCTTTAGCATCACATACTGCCGAACCTGTTTTTTATTCTGCTTGAAAATTGTCAGGAGCTCCCTGGTTTATATACGGTCGGATAACTGTGAAATGTGGTAAAATGATGAATTTAGTTATTATTTAGTCCCTCCCAGAAATCCGTTGAAATTGTAAAAAAAAATCCAGCGAATTGAAATAAGTATTACGAACGATCAGAGTCGCCACACGGCGTATTGCAAGGCGTTCGCGTATAACAACCGTAGCAACACACAGTTAGTATACGAGGCCAGGGTAGCATCAATCCTCGCCTGTGATTATGGAGATATTTGTTTCTGCTAACGTCAACCTAGGAGAAAATATGATGGCATTATATATAAGTATCTAATTGGTTCATAACGGCTTACCTGATTTTGATATGACTGTAGTAGATGGATCTCTCGCGATTGTAGACGCAACGGTTGTATTTTGACCTGTAATTATCATGTTATATGTATTGTAAAAATAATAAAAATGAATACATAAAGAGAATTGATACGAACTATCAGCAACATACAAACCGTGTAATGTTGTTCAGTGGGTGCAACAAAAACATGTACGACCCAATGTTGTGCTTGTTCAAGTATTAGTCGGCATGGCAAAACGAGAATCTTTTTTACCAGCAGACTGACATATTTTCATTTGCTGACATGGTAACAACAAGTGCCTTGCTTGCAACCTATTTCAAGCCAATCTTCCTTATAGATGTATTGGAGCAGTTACACGAGAAAACAAAACACCTGAACTCCGAACTAACTATTCGATCCACGCTACTTATCATCACTACACAAAGCAGATATGCATACTGCTCATTTGCATATTCGAATCAGTTTAATCCCTCTAGTTTAGCACAGTTATAATCAAGTCAGTCGGTTACTTTAACACGAGTAATACCACACTGAACGACAGTTAAAACAATTTAACTTGGTTTTAGCACTTGGGAACACATACAATGCATTGTGACAATTTAAGATTATATTTAAGACTATATTCAAATACATCTGTGTTTGTTGTGCATACCAAGGATTATTTTAATTGTATGTGTGCCAATTTCCTTGTTTCCTTTGTCGGTAGATATTTATGTACGACACTGGACGAGAGTGTTCCGTGCGATCTGATCTGAACAATTACTGATTTGATTAAACTGGGTGACATAATTATGCTAGATCGTTGTAGTACGGTCAATTTGTCGTAATATGAAAAATGAATCCTTTGGAAATATTTAAATAGCATATACCACATATTATTACCTTGACAGATATACAAGCTCTGAGATGTATTGGAGCAAATGTGTACCAACATCCTTCCAGAACATGTAGTATTCACTTGTTCACAAGTTGTTAATGAATTATGCCTGAGGTTAGACCGAAGACACATTCTTTTGCCCAGGATATCACCGCAACTAAAGTTGACTTTGCTAAAAAGTGACCATTGACAATAAACTATACAGTTTATATCGATATAATAACTAGATTATTTCTCAATGCAAAAAACCGCAATAAACTGAATTCATTTCGGAGTTCAAATGGCTAGTACAGATATATTTAACACATCTAAAATAATACTTACAAAACAATAACATCATCATAAATATTTGTTATGTTACAGTCATTGTACCATTCACTTGTACAATTACATTCAATCTTTGGTTTCTCGTTAGGTGAAGGCTTTTTACAAATAATATCAGTACATATATATGCGTTGACACAAAATAACACAATCATAACATATTTTACTTGAGTCATTCTCTTGCTATTTATTGCCAGTGTCTTTTCAATCAGCCAGTATGTCTTGCCCTGTCGATAACATGTTATTATAAATAATTAGTTATATTTTTATTACGATGAAGATGTTATGAAATGAAAAACGAACGCCAACGTGTACTACTTGCAATGTGGATGTTTATATTTGTTCACATTATGGTCGCTACGACATCATGCAGTTTTTTTCTTTTAAAAACGCAATAGACAACGGTTGAAAGGTTAAATTCGTTTTATCCACACATGTACATGTCTCTCTTATACAAGCTGTCCACATATAGATTAGATTTCTATATAGTCCAGTCAATATGCATTGACACCTTTTACTAATTGCGACAAGTCCTAAGATGGTGTTTGTAACGTGTTACCATAAACATATTTTCTGTTGCAATGAGACTTAACCTAGTGTGTATTCAGAAAATTTCGCCAGGGAGGTCTACTTATCTTTAGAATTTTATTTTGTTTTTATTGTCATTTTACATCTGGTTCTGCTATGAAAATGTAGCCTTCCATACACACCCTTCATGTTTACTCTCTCAAATCTTGTTTTTTTATACGTCTACCAATTACGTGTTTGGCGGTTCACGTGAATAAAACTAACGAATTAGGCTACATATACTATAGGCAACTATAAACTGTTTCTGCTCTTATTCAAGTAGAAATGGCTCGTAACAAACAAACCAACCAACCAACCAAACCAACAAACCAACAAACCAAACCAACAAACCAAACCAACCAACCAAACCAACCAACCAAACCAACCAACCAAACAACCAACCAACCCAACCAACCAACCAAACCAACCAACCAACCAAACCAACCAACCAAACCAACCAACCAAAACAAACAAACAAACCAAACAAATCAAACAACCAACCAAACCAACCAACCAACCAAACCAACCAAACAAACCAAACAAATCAAACCAACCAACCAACCAACCAAACCAACCAACCAACCAAACCAAACAAACCAAACAAACCAACCAACCAAACCAACCAACCAACCAACCAAACCAACCAACCAAACCAACCAACCAAAACAAACAAACAAACAAACAAACCAAACCAAACAAACCAAACAAATCAAACCAACCAACCAACCAACCAACCAACCAAACCAACCAACCAACCAAACCAAACAAACCAAACAAACCAAACCAACCAACCAACCAACCAACCAACCAACCAACTAAATAACAAACCAAACAAACAAACAAATAAAAAATAAAATAAAATGCTCTTACTGGTTCCATATCATTTATTTTAGATCGACTAACGTCTTCGAAAAATGTGTAAACAATACATAATGACAGCCTCTTATTTTCGTGTAAACAATTCCTATGGCATTTACCAGTCGTATTATAATAGGTTGTCTGTACGTGGTCTTGCCATGAAATTTTAATTAACAAATTAATTTCGGGCAGCGGCGGACGGAAAACACCAATATACATTTCTGTCTATTATTATTTTTGAACTTTTTTAACAACTATAATTGTATTATTATTATTATTTGTAATTTAGTTAAATTTACTTTTGACCTGGTGAATAAAATATCTATCTATCTATCTATCTATCTAAATTAAAAATATTATCCGATATTAACCAATGTCTAATAAAAAGTAGTTAGCTAAATGTTACAACTAAAGTTAATTTAGCTGCGTGAATCGACTTCCATCGACAGTATTTAGAACTTTTTATCAGAACATTTTAAAAATGTGTAGGCATTAGTTCAATGGCCTTATACAAACTGATAACACGTACTGCAAAAACATGAAAGACTACTAGCCGTTTCATTTGATTTATTCATTGGTTAAGTAATAGCACTTGTTGGAGTACGTGGTGGCCCGGAAAAGAACCGTTGGGTTAGGTTAGGAATAATCTCTACAATGGCGATATGAATAGATTCGATATATTGAAAACATGTCTGGTGTGCGGGTGTGATTTCTGAAATAACATTTTGGAAAACTACAGGTAAGTTCTCTATACCGCTGTGTGGTAGCAATTTACTCTGCGTTCATGACTACATGCAGTTAGTGGGCGACTTCCTCCCTACAAACAAGACAAGATAAACTTGCAGCAAATTCATCATGGGAAAACAAATAAGCACATATCTAAAAATGGGAAAATATTTTGCACATTTTTTCTGCCAAGGCCCACCCATTTTCTATTGATTACACCTTAGCCTGTCATGCATCCTTACAATATTAAACTGGCCTCGCTTCCAACAAGGCCGGGGCGTGACGTAATGTTACAAGACACTCATGATTGGCCGCTACATTTAGTGTTAAAAACGGCACTAGAGTATGTAATTGTTTATCGAACAGCAGGAATTTGCGTGATTATTGGGTTTTTCGCGTATTCCCACGAGGAAACTAGTGTGGCTAAATCAATTATTATACTGTGTTACATTCATGAACACAGACATTGTCCCTCGGTCGAGCTTTCTAGTTTCGCGGACAACAGTCGTCACAGTTGAGCCAGTACTATTGAAACCATGTTTCTGAGATAAATGACTTGAGTTTATCTAGACAGCTTCACGTTCTACAAAAGTGCAAAATCAACGCGGTGTGTGATAATTAAATTCATATGTTTGTTTTGCGCTTAATGTATCAATAAACAGAACAACCATAACTGAGGATCGTGTCACCCAACTTGATTTATATTGCAATCAAGAATGGTTGAACCATAAAAGTATTTATACACTTATAAACGAGTCTCAGTGCAATGAGGAAGTACACATAATATACACTTACGCATTAAACTGTTATGGGCTTATATTCATATGAGAAACAAACTTTATACACCATGAAGCTGTTAAAGTAAATGTTGGTCCTCTCATTAATAGTAACACAAGGTATTAGTGTTAAAATCGGCATGGCAACAGACAATCCGATAATATGAGAAAATACCTGTACTTACCAGCGGTGAAAGGACAAACAAATTGTTGATTTCCAATGAACATTAAACAGTAGTATGCGATCTTGACTTGATATGTAGATATTTTGAAGAGTAGTAGGAGTATATGGCGCTTATTGACGTCATCTCATTTCAATTGCAAATTTCAAAACACATAAATTCACTTGCTCAATTGTTACTCACATGGACAGCTCCAATGAAATACAGGGGTTCGTCTTGTGTGTCTAACTACCAGTGACGTCCGATGTATTGATGGCTTATTCGTCAGGTTGATGCAATATGTTTGTATTAAACCAATCATCTGTGACACTACAGAACTTATTACATATTCGAATCGTTCTTTCTCTGCTCAAGATGTTATGTTGAAGAGGAAGTAAAATTTAACAAAATAATACACATTGGTTTCTCTTCTGTTTTCAGCACGTAATTGCTAGTGCTTTCGTGAAACTGATGAATATAAAAATAACAGAACCCAAGTGTCTAGAAGGCCCCGAATATTTCCCCCTTAATTTGATTTGAATGAGCTATTAGATTTGGACTGAATTACCAACACTGAAATCAAACATGCCTACATGTACACGAGTTTCGTGCTTGGACGCACTTTAAAGGCGCTCACTAACAAATTTACAGACCCTTGTCACTTGGAAGGAGGTTACTGAAAATTCACTCACCCGTGTCATCGTCTTTACAACTATACAAGCTGGGTATATAATTTATGTGTGTTGTCTGAAACGATTCAGCAATACGACATGCCCAGCTCTACTATTGTTCACAAAATGAATACATGTCTTTCACCTAATGCATGTGGCACGTTTAGATTGCTGGGTCCAAACACTGTATCAATATATGGTGCATGTAAAGCCATTGCTATTTATAGAATATATCTTTATATCTATACGACAGATTGCGGCTACTTGGTCTCCCCTTTCGTATTGTATTAGACTAATACTGAATTTATAATTACATCCACGGGGGAACTGGTCACTACATACTCTGTCTTCTCTCTATAGTGATACAATTAAATTAGCCGATCATATTTTAATGATTACACTCTGTTCATAAGGGCGTGTGCTTGCTTACGGGAATATTTTTATTCGCCGTAGGATTGTTCACACAAATGAAAATTACTACACACATTTAATAGATCTGATGTTTTAAGACCACAATTTTAATATACTATTTATTCCATGTATCCATTTCGCAGCTTCTAAACAAACACACAGTGATCGTCACTTGTCATTCGCCATAATTTTCTAAATAATAATTCCACAGTTATATATTAGTTAGCCATGATGTCAAAAGGGCCATCTGCATGCATGATCCAATCATATACATTCATAATACAATAGAGATAGGGATTTAATTGATTCATTCGTATGATTTCAAGAAGTCAAAGTCTGAACTTAGTTTATATTGCGAATAGGTCGACATTCGCAAAATTTTGAGCAAATGGAACAGTTCGCGTTTTAGATTGTGGAAAAATCGTTGTTCAAAACATGCATTCTAAAGAACCTCTATACATTTCAGCCATATATTCGAGCAATATAGGAATGAAGAGCGCCAACAGTGGCAAAACTGAATAAATGTTTACCTGTAGCTCTAAATCCACACGATGAACAAAAGTTATTCCTGAACTCATTATGGAAGTCTTTCTTCAAACACAGAAATATATAAATATAAATAATTCTTTAAGAAAATTGGCAATCGCAAACAAATAATTGACTAACCAGCCTCACTGATTACTAGTATCGCCAAAGCCCAGGTGATACCAAGCAGTGCAAATAAACTGACAGACCCACGAAGTTGTGCTGCTTTACCATATCGATCTGATGTAGACGTTGTTTTTAAAATTAAGACTGCATATTTGGTGAACAAAGAACATGTACATCACTGTATTCAAGACGAGTATCACTAGAAAGGTCTGTGCGTTTACTTTTTCAGAAATGTATGCTGGATTGATCAGATCAGTTACTTGATCATCATTCGAAGGTCAAAGTTCGCCTGTTATCATGAATTGCAATTTTAGCGATTAAGTCATTTATGTTTTTAAATTGATGTGGATAATATACCAATTCATTTTAAACATAAACTCCCAGATAATCGACTTCTTCGGTCAGCTACGAGACCGTTTGTAAATACAAGTTGAATCAGAAAATTGATGAATTCAACAATCGCCAACTTGGTCAAAAAACTATACAGCCCGATCACTGATTTTTACACTGGATCTGAGAAGTAATTAATGTATCTACATAGCGGACACATCGAACTTGTAAAACCCAGTAGACTAGTGAATTTAAAATTTAACTAATTATGTAAAAACAACTATACTCCTATTTTCAAATAAATACAGTACACATTAGTTTTAGAAATTGTGGTAGATAAACATTGTGCGCAAATGTGCATTATGATCAACTTATGAACATTTATATACATTTCGAAACAACATACTAGAATAATTCCAACGGTAATAAACGAATTGCGATCCGAATAGCTCTATTGGTATTGAAATCGAACACATCCTTGGTGGTTTCTTCTTAGAAAAGTGGGACTTGCTCAAAATATCATCTTTGTTGTCACTCGATCTGTATTAAAAGGAAAACTGATTGTTCATGCAGTATACGTAGTGATTAAGACGGGCACATGTCAGGACTATCAGAGCGACATGCCATGTAAAGTACGAGTACCTGTGTTGAAATCTAATTAAAGAATAATTCTTATTTTATTGCCCGTTATACATATTTACTCGGTTGTCTTTCTTGGTTGATTGATTGATTTCCACCACATTGCTGATTGATTCCCACGTGTAACACTAGGCTGAAAAGTATATGAAATATAGCATCCTATAGGACTGTAGGTCAATCAAAACAGAACAGCCATGGTTCAAGCTAATCCAAAATTGTATTTAATCCAGAGATTGTAATTATTGAATACTGCATTCACACAAACACAACTCTCTGAATACCACAATGTCACACTTTAATCCAAGTAGATAAAATATCATTCTCCAATTTTATCTTCAAATTTTACTAAATAAATCATTTATTCACTAAAATTAAGGCCTTTATAGTCTGCATGTTCGACTATCAGCAGGTAATATTTTAACAAATTTGTCATATTGTGATCCAGTGCAGTGATCTGATTATCTGATTGTATAAAGTAATTCCAATTTATGGCTAACATACATACACACTACAATTACATTAAATTTGACATATCTAAGTTATACCTGATTTTCCCCATCTTTTAAAAAATACATAGTTAAACATTATAATAATTAACAAATTAATATGTGCGAGACTTGTCGCGTCCTTTGTGCGATTATTTTCTAAAATGTTTAATCTCAAAAATACAATTACGATATTGCGTATATATGACTGAATTGAAAATTCTTAATGGTGAAAAAATGTAATGCAAACTAGCAAAGTCTTTTTAACAGTTATTTTTCTCTCTGGTTATTATAATAGGAACTGAAGCTATCAAATTCACATCATTCGATTGTATGCCGTCACCAAACTGGAATTCGTCCTGCAAAAGAAAATTGACATTATGGAGAAAAAGATGTTTTATCATTCAGTGTACAATAACATTAATTTAGAAATATGTAAATGTTTTAGAAAATGAGAAATATTTAAAGCATGTGAAAATCCGAAATAATTTACGTGTTGCCGATTACTAAATGTAACCAATTATATATTCGGAAGTGTTTTATACAATTTGAATGTATATTTCTTAGTGTCGAATCCATCACCATATGAAACGACATGACATAAGATGCCAATTCACAATACAATATTGTATCGAGTTTCTTTACCTGTGCCTTCTATACCAATGTCGAAAACAACCAGGTACTGACAAGCAATACAAATAAACTGATCGATCCACTAAGTTTAACTGCCATCTATGAAATGAATAAAAGTGCAGCAGTGAATGAATTGACATTATAATGCAGTAGAAGAAACAATAGAATGAACATATGATAAATTATGTTAACGTTGCTCACCGAAACCTCCGCCGAAAGAACAGCAAAATTAGTCAAGTGGTTGCATTCACAGACAACTTCTGCGTCTCCGTCGTCTGACACGGAACACCCTTCTGGAGACCAACCACCATCATCATCTAAATATATAATATGATACAGTTATTAACACGATTGTCTTTTTGTATTCAAACTAATTAATCATCACATTCATCTTATTGAACACGAGAGCCATTTTCACGTCATAAATATAATTAATTAGTATTTATGTTACATTTTAACCAAATGCTCATATCTGAGAAAAATGATTCCAAAATCTACAGTACGGACAGAAAAAAAAAACTCAAAAAAATTAACAAAAGAACGATGCAAGTCTATCTAATATTATAGGTACCACTGTAGTTTTGTTATTCTAATAACAAAGCTGCAATAGGAGTTCTACTTACCATTAAGTTCAAAATCCCAAAATACACATGTGGATTCTCCAGATTTCTGTAACATAATGTATAGAAAACTGAAAGTGTTGGTAAAGCTGTTATACAAATTATATGCAAATTAGTTCGGTAACAACATCATAAATTGATTATACATGTCATTGGGGCCTGACTCAGTACAATTATTTCTGGTTCTAGTTAGTAAACGAATATTCTATAAAATAATTGTGAAGCTGTTAGGAATGTGTGCAAATATTAGGTAGGCATTGTTGTAATGTTCGGACTCACCCCATTAATCTTAGCTAATGTGATCTTGACGGGTTCCTCCAAATCTGTGATAGAGACATTACCAATGCTTGCACCGATTACTGCACTGTTTAATGTTCCATACATACTGCCACTTTCCGCTTCATCGGAAGTATCGTTGGTTAACGCTTCATCCACAGCCTTTAAAACAAGAATACATAGAATGTCAAGAATAATGATTTTCTATTTTATACATAATATTTTGCATTCGAAAATCTCCATAAATTATTTTTTTTGTTTTTTTGCAAATATTATCAAATAAGTTATGTGATATCATCACATTTTACTGTTATTTCGCATGCTGTGATTGGTTGATACTCGGTCACATGACATTGACTAAACCACTGCGCAACGATACTGCGCACAACATATTGTCGTTCGCTGTAGTGGTGCTGTCCCTGCCGCTGTTGTTTTCAGGGTTGCCTTTCAAGGATTTGGAGGTACTCCAGCCATCCGAAATACACAGCGAATATACCAGAACGGACATTCAGTAAGAGACTTCGTTTTGACGTTCAGGATATTGTTTATATGCAGCAAATATATACGGCGAAGCCGCCCTATATTATGGGCAGGCAACAAATCAAGATATTGCCCTCTGAAACACGCTGTAACGTATATTAAATATGGCCGCTCTTCGGCCAACTGTAATGCTTTATGTGCGTTGGAATAAAGCAGTTTGCAAAAACATTGAATATTCATAGTTTTTAGCAATGTAATTTTACTTACCATAAAGAAGTTGTTGGACTTGTAAGAAATGAATTGAGCCTTGACCAGTTCTCTTGGAAGACCACTCAGTAATAGAGCAGGTAATTTTATGGATGCTCTGCGATTCTATAAAAATAATAAGTGTATGTACTCATTCAGTTGTGTTAAACATTATGCATTATTGAAACAGAAAAACTATCCAATGAACAAAATTATGATTGATGTTGTTTTGCGTATGGAATGCTTTATGTAGTTTAATTCATATGTTGAATAGCAACTAGTAATTTCGAATTATAAGTTTTATTTACTATTGCTGAATGCATAGAATTGGTACGATCGGCAATTGGCATTACTCATGATTTATTGGGTATTTCCGTTGAGCGAGTTAAATTTGCTGTGACACTGTAAGCGTCGATGTACGTGTTTACTTAAATGACCATGCGTCCATTAGTTTCATATCATGATAATTGTTAATCACCACGCTATTAACACTGTCTACGTTCTGAAAATCAGCATTGTGGACAACCATGTAATCTAATCTAAAATGGATAACTAAGAATAAACCTAAATCTGCAATCACACTTCTGCAGCTGAACTCTGTTTACTTTTTCGATGTGTGCCAAAAAAGATAAAAACGATTGCCATTTAACAACTTTTTTCTAGGTTGGTTAACTCAAGTTACAAGCGACTGTTGTGGGTAGAAACCTTATTTCAGTCTATTGATATAGGCAATCTACTATAGTTCAAGTGTTGCCGTGCAAACGGTGTTATTCCCGTACTTCATTTCAAAGTTAACTACTTAGTATTATATTCGCTAAAATCACGGTATATATTGATACATTTCAGAACTCACCGATCGTTCACCACTGTCTGAATCGAATGTCATTCCATCAAAATCATCAGGATCAATACTGACCACGTTCATCCCTATGTTTTCTGTGTCAATCATAGTAGAATTCACGTTACGAGCAAGCTTGTCAATCGCTTTAAGCAGTCTGGAAAAAAGACCGAAAAAGAAAACATGAAACTTCACAATACAAGAATGGAAACGAAAATATAAGACAATACATACGATTTCCTTATGTTTTTGATATGGAATTGACACCATGTCGTGAAAAAAATCAATTGAATAAAAGACTGATAAAGCGACTACAATACGTAGGCAAGTCATCGAGAGAGCGATATATGGACCCAGGAAGTGGTGGTTAGGTGTTTCAGTAAGGATATGTTTAGTAACATTTCATGTATCAATACTCAAATAAACTGGGTTAGAAATGGTTTAATTTACGGGGTATATTTGAAGATCACCTAGGATTTGACGTTGTTCTGAATTACTGAGAGTCGCAGTAATTCAGAAAGTTGATGAATGTAATGATTCAGAATCTATGCGTGTTGAGACGCTATTCACGCAAGAAACAAGTCAACGCATAAACAAATAGGAAGCCGAAACGAAATGAACGTTTAACATTCCTCGCAAATTGAGTCACATGCCCCCAGTACACATTATTGATGGTTTAATTTTAAACAATTGGAATATGTTTTGACATGACGAATGAGCTTGGAAATGAAAGAGTGAATGAGCTTGGAAGTGAATGAGTGAATGAGCTTGGAAATGAATGAATGAGCTTGGGAACGAATGAATAAGCTTGGAAATGAATGAATGAGCTTGGGAACGAATGAATGAGCTTGGGAACGAATGAGTAAGTGAATGAATGAGCTTAGGAACGGGTGAGTAAATGAATGAATGAGCTTGGGAATGAATGAATGAGCTTGGGAATGAATGAATGAGCTTGGGAATGAATGAATGAGCTTGGGAACGGATGAGTAAATGAATGAATGAGCTTGGGAATGAATGAATGAGCTTGGGAATGAATGAATGAATGAATGAATGAATGAACGAGCTTGGAAATAAATAAATGAACGAGCTTGGAAATGAATGAACGAACGAACGAGCTTGGTAATGACTGGGTGAATGAGCGTAGGAATGAACGAGTGAATGAGCTTAAGAATGAATTGGTGAATGAGCTTGGGAATGAACGAGTGAATGAGCTTGACAATGAATGAGTGAATGAGCTTGGGAATGAATGAGTGAATGAGCTTGGGAATGAATGAGTGAATGAGCTTGGGAATGAATGAGTGCATAAGCATGGGAATGAATGAGTGAATAAGCATGGGAATGAATGAGTGGATGAGCATGGAAATGAATGAGTGAATGAGCTTGGGAATGAATGAGTGAATGAGCTTGGGAATGAATGAGTGAATGAGCATGGGAATGAATGAGTGAATGAGCGTGAGAATGAATGAGTGAATGAGCTTAGAAATGAATGAGTGAATGAGGCTGGGAATGAATGGGTGAATGAGCGTGGGAATGAATGAGTGAATGAGCATGGGAATGAATGAGTGAATGAGCATGGGAATGAGTGAGTGAATGAGCGTGGGAATGAATGAATGAGCAAATAAGCTTGGGAATGAATAAGCGAACTGATAACCTTGAGGCTGTCTTTCCACTTCGTTGGCTGGAAACCATCACACCCCAGTCTACTCTGACTAAATCATCAACGCTGTTAAGTAGATCTCTCGCAACTTCATCACTTGTACCGGAATCATCACCAATTACCAGACTATCAATCACATCAACTGCCAAATACATATCTGTGGCGGCAAAATACTCGGCAGCGGACGTCAAGTTGTACAACTTTTTGGCAATCCCTGGAGCAGTTTCTGTTAGGGAAAGTAAAACACATATTCAACGAATAATCTACCCTACACAATTACATAAGCACTGTAGAAGACAACATTGTGAAGATGTATGAAGCATAATAAATCTCATTCGCATTAAAATAGCCGACAGCTGATCAGACCATCTTTTTAATAGTAATATCAACCAAACCAAACATTGTTATTCACGAACATACTAAAGTTATCCGATACCAATACAAATATACCCATACGCCATGCCCCCCAAAACGCATGACGATTCATATCATCTGGATTACGCATAGCTTCTCTGCGATTTTCGCTCCGTAAAGTTAAGCGAAGCTTGCCCCCCCCCCATACATTTTGCTGGTTCCGCCATTGGCCAGCAGCCATTAGGTAGTGCATAAAAAGTATACTCACGACGAGATGGACGTTGACCAGCGAGATTGGACAAACCACGCGTATAATCTGTACGGGAACAATCATCGGTTTCAGGATCTTCCCAAACTGCAATTCCCTCACTGAATATTAACAATAATTCATGTCACGTTTCCAAAAGGTTGTGTATATATCAATTTTGCTTACACGAAAAATGTTTTTAAATGCAGTCAACACTTTACATTGCAAAAGGCCTGTCAGATTTCAAAAAATTCTCTTCATTGAGACTGAAATCCAGCTCATTCTAATTTACCCTCGGTCAGAATGACAGTGTAACTTCGATGCACTATATACATAATAAATAGACAAAGACGTCTAAAATCAATCCCAATATTATTGAATAAACCACAAGTTTAAGAATAAAGTCACATATGTAACAGCTCTTACTGAAATCTCTGAAATACTGGTAATAATGTGAATCGCGAACAGAAATCAATTCGCATATTCAAAAAATTCAAATTGTGAGCTACACTAGTAAGTGGCTTTTAAAATACCAGGGTACAGGACTGCAAAATACACCACACAGCTGTAACAATGACGTTTGTAATAGCGCCCTCTGCGTCAGGAAACAAAAGAAATAAAGAAACTGATTTATACTATAGAGGGCCCCAATTAAAATACAAAACCATATTTATAATAAATGATTGTGCTTTATGGACATGCGTCTTGTTGTTGCTTATTTTCTCGGTTTATTATATATCATGTATCATGACAGTATTTATTTAATAATTGTTTGTAGTGAATATGCTAACAGCACGGATTGTCGATATTGTATATTAAGTACACTGATGTGTCTAGTTAGGTAAGTTGTCATGACAAGACATTTTGTTAGTGATTTAAAGAAATGCTTCTTACACAATGAAAATCCCCTGTGTTTTGCAACACATATTACGACTAACTTTCATTAATGGATACTCAAAAGAAAAAAATACAGTTTTTATACAATGCAAATGGTAATGCCAATGACAGAATATATATGACTAATATATAATGAGACAGTAATATGGACATTGGCGCATATACAAGCAAAAATGTCCACCACAATGGATCACAATTTTTTGCAATATTCATTATATACTTCTCAGACCAGAAACGTCAGAATCAGATTTGGTCAAGATTGTTTATTGATCGATAAAATAGCATGTAAAGAAGCAAATTCAACAAGGCGTCTGGACATTCATGATGATTTAGTACCGAGAATATATGAAAGAATTTACTCTCAATAAATCCTCCGTAGTGGTCATATATAACATCATACAGGCATATGTTGCCATGTGTAATATTGCAATGACACCCAAATTTGATGTCACTATGTGATCAATATCCAATGTTGCCTGACCCAATATGTTGGAACTTAATTATCAGATAATTATGTGCGTCATGTGTGGTAATTTTCCACGGACCCCATCACGTGACCGATTTCAATAAAAAGGAGACTACTCCACCCTTAGTTTTCGTATCACATGCAACTGTGTTTGCAATTGCCATGTTTTAAACAACAACGCAGAAAAACGTCTATCCAGTTGAGTACGTTCATATTACAAAAGAAAAATGTGACAAATCATCAACCCAAACTTACTCTGATGAGCAGCGTCTTCTTGCTTGTAAACGAGAATATGGGGGAGCTGACGGACATTTGATTACAGCAACTCTGTTAATTTTGGTTTGTTTCCAGTTATATACACCGTTCTCATCCGATGTTCGATCAACTGGGCATGTGGAGTCGGATGCTGTAACAAAGTGCGACAGTCAAATGAAGAGAAAAAAAATGAACTAGAAATAATCAAAAAAATACAAATATATAACAGACCTTCTGTCACGCCCTGGCCTGCCGCGAGGACTTTCACATCCAACGGTCTCTCCTAATCCAATCGAACACACTTTGAATTTAAATCCCAGAAGCGGCGGAACGACATTTTGCATGTGGTGAGATTTGCTCACCATTCCTCGCGCCAAAGATGGAGTTCCGGGGGTTCCCGATAAATTGAAATATGGACCCTTTGAAACGCTATTTTCTGCATTTTGAGGGGTAAAATTGCACTGACAGAAACCTTGATTGGGGGACAACGCCGCCCCAAACATTTTTTTCGGGGCGACCACCTGCCCCATCCCAGTACCGCCGCCACTGATCATGAAGTGTAAATTCCTAAACGGTAATCAACTTGAATACGTTGAATTAATATCGTATACGTTGCATGTAATTATTACATATGTACTGTTGTATTCATAGTTACAATCGAAAGTAATATTATTGTTGATAGCAAAAATATGCAAATGAGATAAAATAGACACTTCTGAAGTTGAGTTTGGTGCACAACCGAATTGCCGCTCTGTAGCCTTGCTGTATTTTTAGTCGCTTCGCTCATGAAAATACGGCCATGCACGAGGAGCGAAACAGTACTAGTGTATTTGTGTATTTACTTTTGACACGTGATAATATTGTTATCAAATGCATTTACATAGCCTCATACTCCCAGCATGCACTGCAATCCAGCTGGTAATTTAGTTTGACTTGTCTGGTACCATAATTCTATCTGACATCATTGATTTTTCTGAAAGTCAATATAAAATTATACACACAGATTAAAACTTACTTTCACATTCAAAATCTGTCTCGCTATGTTCTTCCACTGGAATCAACTCTGCTGAATCGGTCACCTTGCAAGCGGCGCCAGTGATAGTTACTCCTGCCAGGTCACTGTCACCGGCAGTGAGCGCCATGTAAAGCCATTTCAGTTTACAGCCGCATTCCAACGGGTTACCAGACAACTTCCTGCAAACCACACAAACGTGCACATAAAACACGTGTTTAACACGTTATGAAGTTTCACACACATTCTTAGGCGAATAAAAACATAGAAAACAAACGGCATAATACATGAAATGGTTATATGAATATGCTATCAACAATAGGTTACTTTGTTTCTTCTCTCGAATTGTAGCATGTAATACTTTATGTTGTTCACGTGTATCATTTCAATACAGATTTAGTATCATATTCAATGAGTCGTATACATTTCATACACTGTAGACATTCGACCTAATTTAAATTTCACGTATTTATATTTTAAGCACGTGGTTTGATTCCTCTAACGAATACACAATTATTTTCCATTTTCACAGTTTGTCACATCAATGAATACAACCTTAAAAACTTAATTTACTTACAGTTCTGTGAGTTCTTTTACTGAGTATACATCATTAAAATCAATTTCGGTTATCTCGTTGTCCTCTAAATCTCTTCAGATAAAAAAATATATTAATATACATCTGTCACCGAAAGGCCATAAGTTACAGTGTGCCGTAATTTTGCGGTTTTTTACGGGGTAATTACATCCTACCATATCAGGAAATGCGAATTCCAAATATGAAATGATTACGCGCCTAAGCGTCTTCTAATAATATAAACAAACATGGCTGCCGCCAGAGTTTGACCGGATTCAACACAAAATATTTCGTTGATTCTGATCTAAAGATTTTGGATTTCGGAATTCCTATAGTGTTATCTTGGAAGGAAAAGTTGTATAATAATAATAAATTTATTACGAGAATACCTCGAAGTATGCACTCAGACAGTACACCACGCATCGACCGACGCGCACTCCAGCTGTACTGTCTTCGTGCATACTTTGAGGTATCCTCGTAATAACATCGTATTATTGGCATGCATTTTCTTCATGTGTAATATATATTTGATGATTATATATATTTACATTGATCGTCGCGAAACATTGTATATTGCTCATAACACAACATAAATAAACTACTCGCAGTACTGCAGTGTTGTCTGGTAGCGGTGATGGAAACCTGTCTATATCTTCGCAATCTACAGTGAGGACGTCGTCTGTTTCGGTGCAGTCACACGAGATGGCGGGACGGTTGCCAGGCCCACGTCTAGGTCCAGGTCCCCGTGACTGTGTTTCTTCACACACATTCGCAGAACATGTTACGATGAATAACACAACCATAACACCCCCGTTCCACAGTAGAGACATCACAGATGTACACTTTATATATGTAAACTTCAATGAGACTAGCCTAAAATACATTAGGGACATCATCGTTAAAACGTGACCGTGAAACAACTGTATGTTTTTAAAGCAAGGTGGTCGTCGCGCTGCGCATGTGCAACATTTGTGTTGATAAACATTGATTTTCCCACAATTCAATGCGCTCTTCTGAGTATGAGGTTTGACCTGGGCGCGACTTTCACTAATTACCACCGACGACTCCTTGATATCTTCTAACCACCTAAAATACCTAATTAAAGCTTGGTAACGTCTCAGTTTGTACTCGTTGATAAAGTCGCCATTTTTGTTTATACGAGACCCATATGTCTCGCGCATGCGTGGCATGGCGACTAGAGCCCTTTAATTTTATAATGTATTTTTTTAATGGCCTACATTGTTTAAAACTCTATATAGTCATGTGGGCGTGTATGTGTGAATCCTATATTTATAATGATATTTGACAACTTGTACACCGATTTGCTACATGATTTAGTCACCGTGGAAACATTTTTATATTAACCAATACCCCAGTCAAAGATGAAAACACATCTTCGGCAGCGCGACCCCAAATTGTCAAGAACACTCGTGCGTTTATATGGTTGCAGCTTGATTCGACCTTCTTAATAGCTGACAACACGCTGAAAAGTAACAGTGCAATGAATAATTTTATACATTTGTTTCAAAGGGCAGTGGTCATCGCGCTGTGTCGTGTTCGAAATATGACTAACAGCGACGTACACAACATGTGTAAAATACATTGTTTACATGCAATTCGGACACACGCTGCGGGACGACCTCCGCGCACTCCGAAAAGTTCCGTGCCAAATCATTACCTAATTAATGAAATATTTAATATAATGGTATGAACTGAATGAATTCCTAACAGCATCAATGGTGGCAACGTTGGGTGACACTGACACATTCTACGATGTATTATTCAACAAATATTTTCTAATTCAATGACTTCATTGAAAAGCTGAAGAAAGACGTGGTCTGCTCTGTGTTTCGACTTTGTGGATTTGTCTGCTTCTTTCTATTATTCCATGGAGCTATTCATAAAGCAAGTTAGTACGCTATACAATTTGAACGACAATAACAGCAGCGAAATAATGTGTAGTTTAGTTTATGGTAACTCTTAAATCGCTGCCGCACCCTTCAAATGACAGCAACGGCGTCGAAAGTATATGTTAGTTGCTTCTATTTTTGTACCCACCGCAAGTATTGCAATATCGTCGAGAATGTATAACGAGGACAGTCGGTGTTCTGTGATAGCCGTATTATATAGCTATATGGCTATTGCGACTTCCCGGCGACGTGCATGATTCATTTTGTAACCTATGACCGTTTATTGGCTTTAAGTTATTGTAATCGAAGAAACGAAATGAAACAGGATAACACACATAATAAAAATTATACTGTAATCAGTGAAAATGGGTTTTATATGCACAATACTTACAAAATATTTGCCGAAAATAATATTTGTATAGTTACAACAATGCAATATGAAAACAATTTAGCCATAGTCCGTACCTGGACAAAAATTAATTAGTCCAAAATCACAAGCGGCGCCAGAGGAAGCACGATTGTCATAATATGTAGTAAATCGTTCTCCAAACATTAAATCAATTGATAGCGCCAAAAAGAAAGTCGCCATATAGTAACGTTCATAGGGACTTTACGAGGAAGTTCGCTATCTCCCCGTACGCCCGCTGACTATGAATTATGTGCATAAATTGTCGTTCTATTTTCGTCTAACCCTCAAAAAGAGAGGGAATTTAACACATTCTCCTCTTCAAGGGCCACAGTGAACTCTTTATGTTCAAGGTCATTTACTAAAACACGTGATGTTACCAGCTGAGAAATTATCGAGTGCAGCTGCCTTTGTTTAAAAATAATACGCCATTGATCGTTTGAGTCGTATGGTGTGAACACTGATATGCTGTGCATGCTGCAGACAGTTACGTTTTTAGGAAAACGACATCAATTCTAATAAAAAGTCAATAATTCAGCTCAGGTACTTGCCTTTTACTTACTGCGTATCAGTCGCCGAGCACTCAATCTGGTGGTTCAGTGTTTAGTACCCGGATGTACGCACACCTGACACTATCACTGGCTGGCAGGGTTGAACTACCCAGTGTTGTGTGTATTCAGGTATTCACACTGTGTCTAGTAGGGCTAAAATAGTTTATAAATTCAGTATCAATGCGATGAATAACGTGAAACGTGAATTTTATTTCAATTCTGAATATATAAACAAAATAATTCAACTTTACCGTATCTGTTGTCTTACTCATAGACTGGCTGAGGCATGTCTACCCCTACCAGACTGTATTCGCCTCATTGAACTCGGCGGTGACGTAATGCGTTGTGTCAATGATGGTACAAAGAAACTGTGTCACAATTGCTATTAATATACATATTTGTCACAAAAGACCAGGGTGACGTCATGATTTCCAAGGCTTGATATGTTCAATGCCAAGCTCACTGTACATGCAATAATTGCAATGTTAACACAAACGAAAGATAAAGCTATTTAAATTACAAGTTTTCCACACAAAAAAATGTTTGCATTTCCAACGTTGGTAAAAACAATCTCAGTCAGACAATTAGAACATTTTTTTTATTCAGATTAGGTTCAGTGTCGCCATTGTGGCTTAGAATACACGATGCTTTCACTACCTTAGTATTTTCATAATGGTCGTGTTTAGCTGAACAATACCGAACTAGCGGAAATGTGTACACATTTATTATTAATTATATAGTTTCTGTGTTCATATATATCATTAACACGAACATTACGAGAAACACGAACACTCAATTATAATTACGATCTTCGCATCGAGATCGTATATTACATAAAACGGATTTAATCGCGTTGTTGTCGTTAGGAATTGCACAAAGGGCAGGGTCGATCTGAGCCGTCAAACAAGGTCAAACGTGAGCATTATATGATGTTTAGCCTGTTCACCATTGCGCGAGTCACGGGTACAAATCGTCTCTATCCGCACACTTCGAATAATCCCTCCGATGAGAATTGAAATATAATGGAACCAACAAACAATACGCAGTCAAAATAAATTTAAATATATCGCTTCAATATCATATGCAAATATTATTGACAATTGGACACATGTACATTTATAGGACCCTCAATTCACGCTACTTTGGCATTATCATAGTGATGATGGAAATACACAACAATTAGCGGTAACTAATGCCACGTATACCAACTAATTAATGTGGCAAACGACGAGGCCATTCTGAGTTCAACGACCTGTTTGACATCGAGGCAGGTATCGATGTCAGCTCAGTGATATGTCTACATACATGTGTCATATTGCGCGACATCGTCATAGAATCCAGTGAAGCTTTGACTATCGCGGAATACCATTAGCTAATAATAGACGTTTTGACTACTAATATACTGTAGTTAATTCAACAGTTGTTATTTTTCATATTGATTTAAAATACATAAAATAGATTGATTTATGTATACTTGGTCTATTGTTCTATAATAAATAATACAAAATCACACAAATATTATTCACAAATAGTGAAGTAATACAGCATTTATTGTAATATTCTCTTAAAGTTCAGGTTTTTGAAGCAATTCATAGTTAAATAAACAACTACACTATCAGACACGATATGAAATGTGTACTCTTATTTTACCAGGCACTGTAGAAACCAATGACAAAAGCATTTTGTATACTGAAAAAACTATGACAATTCTTGACAATTCGTTGTCATAGTAATGTCCATATATGACCTTTGAGTGCAAGTGCTTAATACTGTTTTGTTTTCTTGCCTAGTCGCGGATTAGCGCCCCAAACTTAGTTATAGACACTATACATTCCTTTCCATTGTTTCAATATTTTCACCTGCGCATGCGTCAGATGGCCATAGCGTGTCATTGTTTACAAACCTATAAGCCTTTGCTTTTTTAGCGTGTGTTGTTATCGTCCCGCTTCAAGGACATTAAGGATGTGTCGGTGTTAGAAAGTGTGATACTTGCCTCTTGAGCGGACTGCACTGCAAAGAGTTACAAAGTACGTGTATGCATTCAACAGGTGGGTCAAGTTTGCTAAGGAGAGCAGGTCAACAACGTTTAGCTCGTACACGTATCGCTGAGAACTGTTCAGTTTGATTGAGGGCGCCGTTCACAGTACCAGAACCGTAAACCTATGTCGGGCTCGCAACCTATAGCATTCAATGGATGCACAGGCTGGCTGGGAATCTCTCACCTACTAGCCGCCCATTCATTAAAAGGATCGTCGATTCCACAAAGCGATTGAAATTCATTGCTTGACATCAATGATGTGTTTATAAATTTTCACTTGCATTTGCCGGTTTGCGATGCAGTGACTTTATCACCATTATAAGATCAGGGTAGTGTGGTCAGTATTTCCGCAGCGGTAATTCTACTTGTCCAGTAGCAAAATTGATCCACTATCACGTAGCAGCTTTTCAACTCCTTTCATGCAGCTTTCTTCTGATCTAGATATTCATAAACAGCATACTTTGGTTTTTGTATAATGAAATTGTTTTTGCGTATCTGTTGTCCGACTTAATTAGCTGATTACTAGCGAATTGCTGTGTTATGTCTGTCATCGTTTCGGCCCATTTGAGGTTCTGGACGAAACTCGACTCAGTGATTTAGAACTAATTACGAGATAACCGTCGCTATTCGGACTACTATTTCTGACAGTTAGTATTCGTAGTTATTAATGTAGCGAACGATTAATCGAAATATATGACGTGTTCAGTACTTATTGTGATTGGCTGTATGATTGAAGGTTACGCCCTAGAGTCTTTTTACTGCTTTGTAATTGGTTAAGGTTTTGAAAATGAATAAAGAGAGTTTGAGTTGGTCTTGGCGAGTACACCACGATAGACGCAGTCCAGTCCTGGAGAGTCTTGGGGCGAGCCTTGAGGCAGTCCAGTCTTATGCTAGTCTCGGGTCAGCCTTGCGATAGTCTTGGGGATTTTTCCCCAGGGCACTGTGTCTTATAGAGTGTTCGACTGATCGACTAAGACGAGAGTTGACACGTATTTCGTTGTGTGTGTCTTATTTGACTGTAAAGCTTAAGTGACTTTCCCGATCCCGTACCTCAAGGGGACGAAATATAGAGACGAGACGAAATTCCATTATTTGTTTATTTTTGTAATAATACTTAGCTAGTACAGGCAACGCGCCACCACCACTCAGGTGAAATTGAGCATGTGGTGGGTGCAGATTTCCAGAAGTTTTTAGCCCGTCATTATTCGGGGTTTTATTGTGCGCGATCGAAGTTTTCGTTTTCTGTGTATGATCGTACTCAAGTTCTTTAGTATTATGTGGTTACCTCCACAAACTTGACAGAACCACATGCTTGTGGCAACGGATTTACACTCTCATTACTAGTGTTGGCGTGTTTTTATGGTGTTTTTATTTTACTTATTAATGGAAGTGATCCATTAAATATATTTAAGCAAGGTTTAAAAAAATGCACTCAGATTTTTTCACATATCTGGCGTTGTTTATTTCAAGTAACAATTACCTAAATCGTATACTGAATCATTCTTTATGTATATTAGTAAATGGAATATTGAATGCTAATATTGGCAAATCAGGGATTATGGTGATTCGTGATGGGAATCGTGCGAAAAATTATTTTTTTTGTCAGATAGTACAAATATAATTCGTTTCGACTTAGGATTAAAGAAAGCAATAACACAATTGACCCGATTTGTGTTTACCTGTCAGGTTTAGACAAATTAAAACTGGACTAAATTAGTCATGTCGTTTTTACTTTGGGTATGTGCGGCTGTATTGCTGAGCCATATATTGGCTGCGTACTCTGGTTATGTTTCTACATCGATTTCCATTTCAGTACGGGAAGACAGAAAGAGCTAGGACATGTTGTGCTTCTAGTGTTATACATAAGGATTTGGTGATTAATATAACTAGAATTTTGAAATGTATACATTTGGGACGCAGATAATTTATTTGTATGTAATAACACGAGTGTACATCAGTCTGACCTAGGGTGATGTGTTTCTGTTGAATCTGGCACTTAGAGGCCATGCATTTTGCTATTTTGTATGAATATGCGTTGTCGTACATTCTTCTATTTTCTCAAAATACAACGCACTGCTGACACATAAATCATTCAGCGTCGGGTCTTGTCAATAATATGTATACATTTACAGGATCTGAGCACTCACTCAAACATGTCTTCGCCTTTTACCAACCAGCATGTGGAATACAACATGTTACAATATATGCAAGTTTTGTGATACTTTAATAGAAACAAAATATGTATTACAAATACAGCTGTGAAAGTGTTTCTACATATGGAATTACATTGTATATATTAAATTATATAGAAGTCAAATGGAATCAAATATGTTATTATGCAGTAATTGTTGTTTATTGTACCCTTTATTATATCGCTGTAGCACACACGTGATGTATATATATAGCTATTGATTATTGTAATAATTAGGATTATTTGACAACACATAAATGCTATCAGATGACGTCCATTCAAACAGCTCTTCCCGTATGATAAACTTCATATCTTTTCTTGAAAACGGAAATGAGAACATCATTTTTTTGCTTTCGTTTTTACGCTGTTATAGCATCCATGCTGTATTTTTATTTTATGTGGATATATTAATATATTTTGTAGGATAGATACAAAAAGTATTAGATATATGTGAAGGAATTGTTCAACAATAAACAAATATACACACTCTGAATAATAAAATACATTTCTTTCAGAACCAATATTTACTGGTTCAGTCAGTAAGATTGACGAGGTGTCTAGTAAATATGAAGACGCTGAAATCACAAATTGGTTGCTTAAACGTGTATGAATAAGGACAATGGCAGCTGCCATGTATAAAGTGAAAGGGATACTCAAATACAAATAGTAGTACAGTATATTAGTAATTTTATGACTTATTGAAGAGAAGTCACGTAGC